ACGTACTTTCTCGTATAACTACAACTACGTCAAATTTTTGATGAAGGAAAAGGACTTGACATTTAATATTAGGAAAAAAAATTTCAATTCTAGTAATCCTGGACTTTGGTCTGAAAATTACATAAATATTATTTATAAAAATGGTTCAAAAAGTCGAAAATTACATATGTATTTGTAAATTATTAACCCTAGTATTTATTAAATATGCCATGAGATATTATTTTGAAAAGCTTTCGAATACATTTTGAATGTACAAAATTTATATACAAACAGGAATGAATGAACAATGATAAGTTTCTGTATTATTTAATATTACGTTGTATTACAGTGGCAAGTCCGCCGGGCGGCGTGGGCGCAGCACGAGAGGAGCCTCGCCCCCCGCCGCCCCCGGCTCCTCGGAACTCATCACCCAGTAAGCACGGCTATCAGTGGCGGCTCTGATTTATATGAAACCATATAAAAATCCTCTTTCTCACTATAAAAGCCACGGGGCTTACAGCAATACACTAGAAAAAAATCCTTTTTATGTATAAATCGTAGCAGCCTCTGTATTTCTTCGTGCACATACAGTCTATCTCACTATTTCGATGTTTTATTAGAACCCATGTCTCGCAAAAAGAAATTTTTCGGATGCCTCATACTAAAATATGTTCAATGGAATTCGCTGTATTTATTTGAACATTTGGGGCAAATGCATAAATATCCTTATCTAGCTTTAGATATGTTAAATTAATATCGTTATAGAATTTTGAAATCCGAAAAATTACTTGCATTTTCATTCATTTTTCCTTTTGTATGGACCATGCATGGTTACCGCTATGTGTTCTAAATATACGCTTAACCAAAACATTCCTGATTGTTTGCATTGTATGTTAAATAACGTATTAAAAAGACTCTTATTAAAATTTCCTGATTTTCTTTTACAAAACGTTTAAGAAGTCACATTTTTTTTAAAGTTACTATTTAGCTACTGTTAATTTTTGTCAGCAAATTAAATAGAGCATATTTAGTTAAATATCCTAATATATTATCTTCTTCCATCTCATACGAATAATTTGTCTTCCTAGTATAAATGTATAATGTCAAATTTTGATATTTATTGACCTTCCATAACAATAAAATTTTTAACATCTGAAAATGTATCACAAGTACAATTTAATATTACTTTAAGAGGAATACAAGAGAAAGACAAAACAAACTTTACACAACCATAAACAATTTTGACAGGTCAGTGGCTTTCTAAAATTATTTATTGCAACGATAGAGCAATCTTGTTAAGCAAATTTCCTTTGAATTGAAAATGTCGAGATGAGAAAAACCTTCAAGGTATTTTTTAATAAATATCAGTTTTCTTTAAGGTCATTTGAGCTTTATATCGCTTTGAATGGTTTTAAGTCCATTTATTTTTCACCGTTCATAGACTATTTACATACAAACAATAATAATATTGAATAAGAATTATAAACATCCTAATTTATTTTCGGATTCCTTGAAATCACAAAAAGATAATTTTGAAACCCTTAATTAGAAAGCTTCATTAACGAGAAATATTTTATCAAAACATGTTTTAATTATATAGGATTATGTTCCACAAAAACATCGTCTCCGTCGGTGTGTATTCGATAAATGTGAAGTATTTCGTTTCTGGAATCCGTCCTCCAGAGGGATTAAGGTGGTAAACAAAAAGTGTTTCGATCTTTTTAAATCTGGCGAAAAAAAATAAATTATATCGTTTGAAACTGTACAAGGATTACTTAAAGTAATGCCACAACTTAGAAACATTTTCTTGTATTTCGTAAAATAAACATTTTGATATTATTCATTCATTTGTTACAACTTAAACGGCTTTATCCATAAATATTAACACTAATAATGTCGTTACATAATAATCCCTTTCGTAAAATCAAAATGTATTTTCCGTATATTTTATTCATATAAGGTACAATGTATCCGCTAATCCAACTATCATATAATAATCTCCTACAAACTGGTAACAATTCATTAGGCTTATTGTCTGCGTGGCCAGAAATCAATCATATAAATTGTTTGTTATCTTTTGATAAATGGATTCTATTTTGTATTATTATATAAAACAAGTTCATGTTAATGAGAAATGTCACCAGCGTGTGTAAAAAGATATATTTACAACATTTTCTCTTCTTTTTTAAGGATTTAAAAGTAAATTGAGTATTAAAATTAAATTAAACTAATATTAGAGAACCATTCGATATATTTGTACTACATAATTAGGGTAAAAATATAAATACATTGTAGATAGAATTATGCAATATGATGAGAATTTTATCATTTCATCTGGTGCCATCCAAGAAATGTCCTTAAAAGTCAATTACAGTCTCTGATCAAAGGATACTACATCAAAAGGGTAATGAGGTCGACTAGAAATCGATCCTACAAAGTTACAAGATGTAAATCAAATATTTTATTACCGTGGAGTAACTGTGGTTGCGAAGAATGAAATCTGGACGTGCATTCCACCATAGCCACAATGATAATTTTGTCAACAAATACACGGCAGGTACTAGCAGCTCTATTTTAGCTATAAATGATTGTATTTTTCTTAATTTTTTGAGATTGAGGAAAAGACGAGTCACATTATACTAAATTAATACTCCCCTGACCATGTGGAATTATGATTTCCGGTGCGATGTCTTCGTACTGTTTTGTAAAAGGGGAAAATTGATAGGATTAATTAGAAAAATATAGTTTCTTTTCACAATAAATTAACATATATCAGAACTCGTATGAGCACGGTATCATGGTATCATGCCAGTTTTGTCAATGTTTAACTAAATATCTAAGTACGAGGACAACACATCACCTAAATGATATCTGTATCCTAAATTATCTTTTGTATAAATTCTCTCACTGATTCAAAATTCCACAATTCTTGTTACACCGGGACCTCTTAATTATGCACAAAATTGCAGCATAACTTTCTAGATATTGTACTGAATTGAACGTTAAATGAACTTTGAAAAGCAATCTAACAGATATGTTATTTCATGTTTCATTAATTCAAAGCTCCCAGGGATTCTCGTTGTGAAGGTTAGCACGTGTCGGTTGCAGAGATATATACTATCTGTATGGGATTCTATTTGTATGTATATCGTATATTTAATGTCTTTAAACTTAACATCTCAGACTTACGGATTAAAAAAATTATAACTTAGAAGAGTTCATATTCAAAGCTTGTATTAAATAGGTTTTAATGCATATTGTTTTATATTTTAATACAAATTTACATACAAAAAATAGTAACATATTTTTGTATTTTTATAACCTTTTTCATAGTTTTGAATTTACAACGCATGGAAACAACCATCCGCACTGTTTTATGTCTTTTTATATGTGATAAATTCATACAGATTTTATCTAGTAAAATTATACGCTTTATACTCATAACTTACTTAAATATAACGTAGGAATTAATGCTAACATCAATACCTGCACTTGTATAGAAATTCCGATTTTTATAGTACACTCGTACGGAAAATCCGGTTTTCATCGAGTATGTACAGTCACTTGAACAGTTTAGAAAAAAATGGGTTTTTCATATCGATAGTCGTTAGCTAATAACTTGAATGCTAAATACTACGATTTTATATGTAAACAAAAACCGAACTCAAAAGGCATGCATCGAAAATCGTACTTTCTTTCTTTTTTACCAGTAATTATCTTGAAGATATATATTACATTTGAGTGCGAATATTATCCTCATTCCAAAAACATTAACACAATGTTTTTTAATATTTTTTGTATCATCCTATCCTAATCCCTAAACATCAGAATACAAAACGTATTTTATTTTTTATATTATATTTTTATTGGCCAAATTGAGATATTTAAAGAAATATTTTGAGTTCAGTGCACCCAAAAACCCTTAAACAATCAATAACATACCAAGTTCTACAATCTAACACAACCTATATAAATAAAATGAGTTAAAGACAATTTACTTACCCTTTAAAAGACTCTCAATAGTTGTAACAATTCCTAAAACGTATATAAAACATTAAAATCATGTACATGTAATGTTTATACTGTCTTTATTTACTGTTAAGACTCAATTAAAACATCACTTTTAAGAATTACTCCACTATCAAACGAGTTACATTAAAAAAGTAATCTTTAGAAATCAACTAACAATTTCGACATCGTTCGATACAGCCAATGGTGAATTTTGCTCTCGAAATAAAGCCCGGCTTAATTGGACTGCTCAATTTGTTAGCACTTTTCTGTAGTATCGAATTTTTAATGCCTTTCTATTGGACTTTTGTTTTTGGTATTTTGTTTCAGTTTAAAAAAATATTGGTAGGACATATGTAAGTATATGAGTAGGCAAATAGCTCTCTACTTATTATTTTATTCTTTGATCTGCACTATAAATGTTTGTCAATGTTTTTAGTAATATTTTTTTTAATTATACGCACATTATCCTTACAAAATTACCACAATGAAATGCATGATTGTTGTCCACATTTGATATTTTGTGTAATTTTGTCGTCGTAGTTTTCTTTGTAAGGAAAAACTGTTCTATTACAATGTTGGCGCTCAATATTTCGCTTGATAAATAGATTTTGTCTACATATGAGACTAGATTCACATCTCGTCTACCTGTGATCACGGTTGCTGCAAAGTAGAATATCTAACCCAGAACCGAAATATCTGGTGTAATCCAAACATTTTCTACTTCATGTTACAATTTAAAAGAGGCTTAGATTAAAATTTTATACGGAACTAGCTTTCCGCCCGCAGCTTCGCCGCGTGGAGTTCGGTTATATCGCGTTTCCAAGAGAACCTTTCAAAAGTCTGGGATAAAAACTATCCTATGTTCTTTCTCAAGGTCAACTCTATCTCTGTACCGAATTTCATTAAAATCAGTTCAGTGGTTTAGGCGTGAAAGCGTAACAGACAGACAGACAGACAGACAGACAGAGTTACTTTCGCATTTATAATATTAGTAGGGATGACTATATTAATTGGTTCATGCCTGTTTTGTTACAGAACAAGGAGCGCTCACGATAGTCCGCCGTTCTTCCAGCCGTGGGAAGACGGAATGCTCTCCACCTACAGATGAACAACTTGATCAGTTAGATCTCGAGACAGAGCACCTGCCCGCAGTAGACACGCCCGATGCCTGCGATAAAGCCGCGCTTAGGTAATATATAAACTATTTTGTATAAATAAAACGTTTATTTTATCTCAGGCTAATTAAAAATGTAAGAAATAATACTGTAAAGAACAATTCCTTTCATTCCTTAGTTATTCTTTTTTCTTTATCTTAAAGAAGATTTTAATTCCGATAGATCCTTTGAAGTAGAAACGTCTTTCCTATTTTATAAATAAACTTTATCATTTTTGTAAACGAGTTTGCACATAAAATCGTTTGTATAACATTATCACTAATATTAAAATTGCTAGATTAATTAAGATTAGGGATCTTTAATCATTATTTAATTTGATGAGAACTTTATATAATAATTATCTATGTAAATATAGTCATAACATTTACTTAGTAAACACATCTTTAATAAAAGTAAATAAACAAACACGTAGAGTCGAACGTCATTCGAGCATATATTTGCTTGGAGAGCGTTCATGCTTTCCCGATGTGATTGCTAGCAAATGCGCTCACAAAATAATATTAAAGTATACAGAGAGGCTTCAGCTAACAACATTTTCATGCTCAGTGTTATGTCCTTTGGAAAACTAAAGTAATATAGTTTTGAAAACTCTTAAACAAAGCAATCTCTGACAATATAGATCTTGTTTATGAATCAGGAAATTTTCCGTTTATTACCTTACGTTGCAGTTGAAGAGGTTGATTATATAAAACTAGATTATGCCTCCAGCAGTCATCTAGTGCCTTGGATATCTAGAACAAAGATCTGTTTTGGATCGTATTTTTTTATAAGAAATGTATGTATATTCAACTTAGTGTATATATTTAATCCAAAAAGATTTTTATCAATATACTCAAATAAGTTTATAGAATATCATTAATATTACACCTACTTTATAAAATATTATAGTTATGGAAATATATATCTAAATTAATTTTACAATGGACACGAGCAAGTATTCCACAGTCCCGTGATCCGTATTTTGTTTCAAACAGCATGGATCAAACAATTACATAAATCACTTCACAATTCAACCGCGCGATGTTTTTACAACACATATTCCATTCGGACTAAATATTGCACTACGAGACTTGGTTACTGTGTTCAGCAAATATAAATAGAATAAAAAAATATTTGGCTTCTAGCTTTACCCTAAAATAATATTATTTTGAATCTGAAATGGGAAAATGAAAAATATTTTGGAACTCTTTCACTAAATATTTGATATGTAGGACGTATTTTATATAAATATAAAGCATAGCTATAATTGCTCTTGGTTCCGCACATGTTGGCTGAACATCGACTTCTTGGAAGTCCAGTTTATATGAAAACTTCATTTAATTATTCATTTACTAGTACTTTTAAATCGTGAAAATACATTTACAATTTAATATTGTCAGACCACTGTGATATTACTTGGGGCAAATAATTTAAATGTCTGAAAAAAGACTCAACATGTCATATTGAATTCACAGCTATCTCTCATATACATATGTACAGAGCTTGATTAAATAAATTACGTTTACCAATTACTTTGCTTCATTTATTTATGGTTGTGGAATCTTTGCAATGTTTCTTCTGTAATATAAAGTAAGAAAACATTAATAAGGATTCCAGAAACAAATTTAACAGATGAATTCTCCATCCCGATATGAAATATTTAAATATATGTATAATGTTTAATATACCGACGCTAGTCACACCCCGATGGCTTAATAGGTAAATCACCTATAACGCGATATTCCTACGTTGTAAGTTTAAATATTTTTTTATTCTGTAATTTCAATTTGAATATAAATTTAAGTATAAGTTAAACATTAAAAAATAATTAGCAAAACCATATAGAAATATTACATTTTTTAACTTAATAAATAGAGATTAGTCACCAAATCATCAAGTCCAAATGAAACATAATACATCAATAAAGATGTATGCCATTATAGCGTTAAATAATCGTTGCAAATAATGCTTTTGAACCAATAAATGCTACATTTCCTTCTGAACAAACTCAAACTTCCTACGAAGATTATTCAGTCATCTGAAATATTTTAGAAAACATTAAATGAAAACTTGTTTATAATTTCAACTATTTTATTTCACTGCTATATATTAATACGCCTGTATTTATTATATAACAACCAATAGTGACCAAGCAAGTATATTACTTGTAATATAATATTTATTTATGTAACAAAAGTAGAAATAGTTACAATATAAATTAAGCCGAAATATGTATAATAGTATAGATAAAAAATTTTAATTGCAAAGGAATATTTACTTTTTCATGACTTGAACTTCGAAAATATGTACTTCAAATGAGTTTTATATAAGGTCACGTATAGATGCCTCTGCCTGATATTACGTATTTCACACCCTTTTTTGTATTTTCACCCTGTTTTCTGATAATGCCCGTACGATTACAATTTTATCAGACAATTTCTGAAGGATTTTTAATTTCCGCATCGAACTTTGAATACGTAACATGGGTAAATTAATACTTATAACAAAATTCCAGTTATAATCCTTTCAATGGGTAGAAGAGTACTCTATAAAAAAGGAAAATGTTTTTTTCTTTTTTTTTCTACGTAGCATTATTTTGATAAAAATATTTCCTCAAGATTAAGACTGGCAGACCCTTAAGTTTTATATAAATCTTATTGTTTGAATGTTATCATTTACGAACATTGATCATCATCTTCTTTGTACTATAATAATGTCTTTTGTTCACAGATTACGCTACCTCCTTAGACAATTGAATAAAGGCGAAATACCAGCCGAGAATCTACAAAAAAATCTTCAATACGCAGCCAAAGTATTAGAAGCTGTCTACATAGACGAGACCAAGTGTGTATCAAACTTTATAATTAATTAAACTAATATTTGATCTGTATTAATAATTACAACGCTATACAAAGTTTTCAATATCAGTAGACATTCTACATCCAATTTTATAGGTATATTTCGCAAACTTTTAATTGATCAACAAAAATTATAATAACAAATTAATTTTTTCCCGTTTTAATAATGATTTCAATTTTATAACAGGACAGGCTTAAGAAAAACTAATTTGTATAAATTTAACTGCGTTCAGTTTCATATAATTTGTCAAGGAACTTTGTACATCGTAAGTATACTGCATATTTACAAATTATGAATAAATTTTAGCCGAACATAGTATTACTTCTTTGTAAATATCGCAGTGTATTATAAATGTTAAAAGACATCTCACTACTCTTATGTTTCAGATCCGCAGCTTGTATCGGGATGTTATAATTTTCAATCAATGTTTTCAACGATCATTTATTCCCCCGCAAGCTCTTATATTGCTTTATCCCATTGTGTCTCGATGTCGGAGCATTTTATAAATAAACACTGCATTGACGCGTCAATAAATGTCTTTCATTTAATTTTTCTTTTACTTAATTTTCATTAAAGCAATTCATGATAGCCTCGATTAAAGTTAAGACAAAACATATTTTTTTTTAATTTTAAATAACGTCTTCTTATTTGTCATGTTACTATTATTTTTCATTAGAAATCGTCTTTTTAATTATCTTCACCATATACTTAAGCAAATCTTTAATTCATTTTTATTAATGTATTCGTAAAATGTCTTAAATATTACCCTTTTAAATTAGAAAGGTTGAAGCTTAGTTTGAGAACGCGATTTAAATACCATTACTCTAAAACGGCTGGTCCTCGGGGGTTCCATTATGAGTGAGCTCAGACAATAACGCGATAGTCATAATTTGAATCTAGAGACAAAGAGAAACAGAAAGTGATTAAAAATGGCCTTAATCCGAGACAGGAGAATCTAAATTTTGAGACAACACGGAAAAATACGGTTTGTTAACTCGAAAGCTTTTAAAAATTTTAAAATCCTTTTCCGACCTGGAATTGATTTGGTTTTTTCGTTCCCTTTTTTAATTTTAAATGAAGAGAACCTAGCTTTTAAAACATAATTGATCATCCATAATTTACACCATCAAACTTACACTAGTAATTCTAGCTTCTTTCATTAATAAAACTTAATACAAACAATTTGATGAATGAAATTTGACAACAAATAATTGATGTAAGAACTTGAATTATACAAAATTGTTTCTTGATTCACAGGCCTTTTGTGTTGAATCTTAAATTTAAAATAAATACATACATAAAAATAATTAGGGATGTAGAAAATTACAGAGAACGCTTAATAAGGGAACACGAGTTGGGGTTAATTAAGGACAAAATGCGACACGATGTAAATGCAATGCTTGCTCTATTTATGTAATTCTAAACATTAGTATGTTATCCGCGTTAATTTTTGTGATTTAATATGTATTTTAATTTAATAAACTTTGCAATAATGCATAAATAAATGAGAAGATTTAAATGTTTTTCAAGTTTAATTCTCCTTCAGATAACAAGATTTATCCAGTTTATTACGTATATAAAAGGAAAATATAATCCATATATTTCTGAATATTTCACATTTATTCTTTATACTTTTCATAATAAAAGGATTTAAGATACGAAAACACAATGTAATATCACTTTTAATACAATGATGGATATCTTTTTAACAAAGTAATACCTCAATGTACAAAGTAATTTACTTTTTTGAACATAAAAATCAGCTCATTCATAACAATACATCTCTCAAAATCAATACCCATTGTTCGTCTGATCAGAACTGAATCGCTTGTAATAATAATAGATAATATTAAGATTCAAATACAATTAATATGTCCTATAATCTCAGATATATTGTGATGTACTTAATGGCTAAAGTAGGAATAGTTTTATCCTACATGTCCATAAAGTTTCAAAAGCTATATTATTCTGTATAACTTCAAATAATTTACCCTAAACAATAAAACTGTAGTCGTTATGCAAGTCTAGTTCATATTCAAATGCAACTGTTCCGCCGGGCACATTATTTCCATAAGTAAAGCCTGGCCTAAGGCTTTAGGAATGTTATTTCAGATAACTTGACTCCACGTTTTCAATGCTTTCGAATTGTTTGTGGATGAAATGTACTATAACTTGACGTTATGTGTTTTATCTATTACAACCAAGATTTTTAACCTTTCACTGAAGAATGACAATGAGGCAAAAGTTTTATAAACTTTTACTTCGTGCAGTATTACCATATGAAATTTTGGAAACAGCGCTCTTTGAAGTTACACCTTTATAACCAAAGATTGAATTTCTACTTCATCTTACAGGTTTCTTTACTCCAAAGTTCTTTTTATATAAGAGTCCGTATAAGATCTTATTAATGTCAACTTTAAACGAGGATGTTCCCTTGAATAGCAATTTTAGGAAACTTCGTAATTTGTTTATAAAAATTATTGCATTACCATAATATGCGTATGTATATTTCACTGATACTTTTGGCTAAATCTAAATTATAATCGAGATAAATGAAATAAGTAATGCTCCGCCATTGAACATGGGATATTTCACGTACGATCATCTCATATGTAATGTGTCTGTGAATGGTGTAAAGGACCGGTCTGTGTGACTCGTGAGCGGGGCTCATGCCGCCAGTGATGATTTGTAATACAGGGATAGGAGAGATGCTGAGCGGTCTCGGGCGCAGCAGCCGATCCTCCACACGCGACGGCTCCGTACACCATGCTGGACGAGGTGTTCTGTAGAAAAACCGATCGAAGCAAAGTTAATACCGTTACATCAACGCCGGCAATGGCCAAGTAGTCGCGCCTCCCTTCTGTCCAATCTGTGCGATTAGGTCTTTTTGTTCTGTTGATGCTTCTGTACTCTTCGAATCCCCGACTTCCTGTTAGTTTAGTTATGTTGTTTCAACCATTTTGGAGATATCTGTCCCTCCAAATTGGTATTAATGATACCAAACTCAGAACAAAACCTGAATGTGCTGGTTTCGGTCACGCTTACCTGTTCTTCTGTAGAATAGTCGTTTATACCCTAGTGGGGACTGAAATCACTTAAGGATTTCGGTTCCCTTCTTCCAGGACCTGCGTGGAATGTTTTTAACACAATACTGCAAACGTCTTTTTGTTACTCCTTGCATGACGAATGGGTGACCCTACTGTGTATACAAGCTTTTCTTATATTTAGTTACCATCTGATATACAATTATCTCCTCGTATTTTATATACTACACGATTCTTTTTTCACTATATAAAGTTTACATGATCATTCAGTCACTTATTTTCTACACATATTGGCTTTCTATTACGTAGTCTAGCATAAATATTTGTCACATTATTAGAATAATGAAAAACATATTCTTATACTCGATATACAGAATGTAATGTGATAAAATATCGATGGTAAAATCGTTTATACATCCCTTGTTAAATCTAATTTCTAATTCTGAGACCTTCATCTTATTTACATCTGTTGATTATATTAAAAATAAGTGTGTATATTAAATTTAACGTCACCTTATCAATATTTAACTGGGTATAAGTGACGTTGAACTAGTTGTATCTAATAGAACCCTCCCATCATCCCATGTATGAGTGATGACATGTTTTATTTTAGACCGGCCGTGGCGCGGCAGCAATCGGCGCCGACTCTGGTGTTTAGGTGTGTCGATGTTATCACTTTCTATGTTGCTATTACCACTTGAATTGACGCTTAGAAGACGCTTTGAGAGACCGATCTTGAGATATAATGTACAATAGCGATTCACGTTCCGAATTAGTTGCTAAGTTATCTATTGCAAGAAAGTAGTGCTATTTGAGAGGCATTTCAACTTATTTCTAAATTTAGTATTTCGCACGATTGAAAACTTTAAAGATGATAATTTTATAGAGAGTATCTTAACTCTCTGTTATTTGATGTCAATATTTGTAACTCGATAAAGTCGTCAAACTGAATGCGAAGGTTTCAATAGTTTTCTTCACGTTTCATAAATCAACTTCAACACGACTTAATACGAAAACTTATGAAGTGAAAACTTAGAAACTTTCGGAATTTTACACTACAAATTCGCATTACCTAAAAGTATCTAAAACTATAGGTTATAATTTACAAAATTTTACAAATCTACAGAAACGCTTAATTAGCTTAGATACCTACTCGATAAATTACAATGATTACTTTTAAATTGCATGTTCCTAAGCCAGATATTTAAGAATAACAATACGGTCGAAATAAAAATATAAATCTAGCTATATTTCTTACATAGTTTTAGAAATGATAAAATTTCAATTTAATATTAATAACACATTCAAGTGGTAATAAACGCCCGTGCAATTCTTCCGAAAGCTTTAAATGGCTCGTGTATGTGTTTCGTTGTTTTTCATTGATATAATCCAATTATATCACTTGCTTAATGCCTTTTTAAAGTCTATCAAAAACTTTAATTATTATCTGTCAGATCTAATATTGTACAATGTAAAGCTACATAGAATAATTTGGATAAGAAATTTAACATCTGACAAACATCTATAAGAAAGTTTATGTAATAATATGAACTACATAGTATCTTTTTAACTATTCATATAATCAAATATATCGTATATAATAGATTATATCAATGCAAAGCAATGCTATAGACTTCTAGCACGTCGCATGTACCTTACGCTAAGATACCCTGTTCCCTTTCAATAATATTTCTAAGCACTTTCTCATAACCTGAAAGGTTTCCTTTTGTAACTTTATTTTCATTAATAAATGCGTACCAAGCAGGGACTAATGATGAAAATTGATGACCTAGGAAATGTATATAATGAGTATTGTTTATCGAAGCCTTGACTACTGCAAATAGTTTACATTCATAAAGTAGCTGAGGCTTTTTATACATACAATTCATGCAACTGTATGGTATAAAATCTATATATAATTAATAATTAATTCATTTATAATATATCACAGATATATCAATAGTATTTTATCTTTTCTTAAATCACTTTTTATCTGTATATTGACCTATGTTAAGAATATTCACTTAGGTCTAATTAGTCTTAAAATAGCTAACACTTAGATATAGAAATTAGGATATAAGAATTTATGGAGTAAGGTTATTTAATATTCAGACAATATATAAAGTAATTCTTGAGGATAAGTATCGATATTGATATGGAAGAATATTGGAACTATCGATAATGGATATACAATATAAATTAAACGTCGAGATTCTTAACTAATAAAGCAACTTTTTCAATGCCTAAAACTATTTCTGTTCAGTATGCTGCCACGTCACTAAAATCAAGACGAAAGAAGAAAACCAGCAGAATAAGAAATTTAAATCTTGTGATAAAACGTGAATAACAGGCTTCGCAGCTTGCTGAAGGACTGATTAATATGATGCTAATAATATCGTTGTTAAGCTTATCTCATTGGCTGCTTCTTGGACACTATCATTACCCACCATCTAATCTATTTCACTATGAACAGGAGATTGGCTGATGAAGATGACGAGCTGTCAGAAGTACAACCAGACGCTGTCCCACCAGAAGTACGGGAATGGTTGGCATCGACTTTCACAAGACAATTGGCGACCGCTAAACGAAAGTCAGATGAAAAACCTAAGTTCAGATCCGTGGCTCACGCAATCCGAGCTGGGATATTTGTGGACAGAATTTATAGACGAGTCACAAGTACAGCGCTTATGCAATTCCCTCAAGATGTTGTTAGAGTACTTAAAGTAAGTATGTTATAAATTTTCGACCTTTCAGAGTACCTAGTTCACATGATTTGGCTTCCATTTGTAAAAAACAAATTAACATCACTTGAGTTATTTATTGAACTAAAGGTTTTTTATTATCATCACCTTCACAAAAATGGCTGTAAATTAAAAAATAAGATATGATATGAATACATACATATTTAATTTTATTGATTTATACAATTCTATATGAGAAGGCTTTTTATAATAATTTTTTTATAATAAAAAATAAGACGACCAAAAAGATATTGTCAAAATCAAACAGAAATAAATACAAGAGAACAGTTTTTAATATTTAAAATATTCAACTACAAGAAGTCATTAAAATACGATTATCTTATAATGTGATCCCCTTTTTAATCATTCCGAAAATGAAAACGAAAACTTCGTTAGAAGCAATCCAATCCCTTAATTTTTTCTTCCAAATAACAAAGAAATACATAATTTCTTTCAAATCTCCGTAATCATATAAAATAATTAGCAGCCACGAATCAAATTAAAGTTTCAATTAAGGCGGATACAAACTAACGAGGTTTTCGGCTTTAGCATTCGTCTTCATTGTGGGAAGTCTGTCTGTGACATAGAGAAATTTGCAATCTGTTTTTGTTGGAACCGGTTCTATCTGTTCCCAAATACACAATTACTTAGAAGGATAATTAAATAGCTACTTATATATGTATATGACTTACATTAAACCAGGGTATAACACGAATATTTAAGGAACAATACCACAAAATGTATGTATAATCAAATCAATATATATTAATTATTGGTCTGTTTAGAAATTTACTTCTAAAATACATAAAATATTCTGAATAACGAGCATCGCATCATAATTCCCCCTTCAAATGATGTTCCATAAATCCCTTTTAATCTGAGATCAAATATATATTGATACTGCTCTCTAAACTCGGAATTCATTAGCTTGCAATTGACAGATCACAATGGAATCATACAGGAAAGCTTATTATACGGAGCCTCCTTTGAAAATATTTCTTATCAAATAATATATACATTTACAGTCCTGTACCTATGTAGGAAGTTTATAATTGTAAAAGCGTAACGATAGTTGCATCAATACTATTACTATTAGCACAAGTTTTATCGATACACTACATATTATGTTTCTCATTGTATAAACTACGTTACTTCTATTATGTGTGATATATATATAAATAAGAAGAATCGCTCTTTAAGAACAATGACGATGTAAACTTGAGGTAAACATGCAAATTTGTTCAGTATCTTCAAAATATATGTATACTTTTTGTAGAAATTTTCAACCATTTTATGACAAATAAAAAACACCAAAGTTATGAATAAATATATACCCGTATTTAACGTGTGGTAACAGCCAAGTAAATTTTACTAAGAACCGTAAGAAAGCAAGTCAGTTACTATGACATAAGTATAAATAAATGATAATACTCAAATAACCATGAAAAACAAATTACATTCAAAAGGTTAATTTATTTATAACATTCATAAAACATATTTGAAGTTGATAAACTAAGTTAACTCTGTATGTGTTCGGGGACAACAGTTTTCCAAAAGTAAACCTAATTTGTCGGTCGGCACGTTTTAACTTTCTATTTTAAGGAGTATTCGGTCCCATTAGACTCCGCTTATCCTAGTTTCGGTGGAATATCTCTTATTTCTGGTTAGATCTATATTTGTTTTCTGTGTTACCTATATAAAAGTCCCAAAACCATTTATCGTGCTGGTAACTATTTTACGATATCGTTTTTCTTTATGTTTTACTAAAATATAATACACAAAATTTTCTCTCTTTATAAAGTGTGACACGTTCTTTGTATCTTTTCCGTCTTTTTCATATTTTCACACTGAAGCATCGCGTTTACATATTTAATATTCTTTGGGTGTCGATGTATCTTTTGAGTGACAGGACGCGGGCGGTCGGTCTAATGTCACATGAAATGAACATTAATATTATACACAAATTTTTAAAAGAAAATAAAATTCTAACGTTACATAAAGATATTTTTAAAGGAAGAATATGAGTATATATTATATTTGAATCTATATATCCGTAGATACACATTAATATAGTCCTATAAACACGAATAATCTTACCATCTTATGTGAAATGTACTATACAAACTTTCATATTTAAATAGAAGTATGATAACTAGATACATATCTGAATCACTATTATAATAAATCTTTAAAGTAAATTACTTATTATTCTTACAAAATGTTAAGTCTTTTGTTTGTATTTTTCCTGTAGCCTAATCGTATGCAAACGTGTATGCCATAAAAGACAAAGGTTATTTTCCTTTCAAGAGAAAAGTAATTTTTTGCCGCATAAAGCAACTTTATTCATTTGAACAGGGAGTTAAATTGAATTTGTTGGCATCTCTTATTCCGGCGCCCTCATCAAATAAACAAAACGTTACAAGAAAAACTCCTATGGAAAAATAATTAGACTTGGCATGTCAGGCATTAAAAATGAATTGAAAAAATATATAGCTCAGAAGCATTCCCTGTAGATCTAACAAATTATTGCTTTATCCACACTTAAAGTTTTATGAGAGTAAGGTGTTCGTTGTAATCGCTTGGGATTTGAAGTAATTGCAACTATAAAAGCTGTACGCCACATTACAGCTTAAATCCCGCATCAGCTGAAGCGATATTATGCTAGTATTTTAAAGTTTATAACACTCTAATAAAGAGTTTCAATTCTTCCAATAGTTTTTTATGTCAAAGATTATGTTAATTATATTTCTTTAAATTGTTATAATTGAATTTCAACATTTTCAATTTATATTGAACATTCTTTAATTTTCTATTTTTATAAATGAGCGCACGGTAGGCACAGAATGGTCAAATTTACGGACTAGTGATTTTGTAACTAAATTTACTATACAATTGTGTGAACACAGTTAAAAATCTACATTATAAAATGTTTAATAAAATTAATATGCATTTTTTTAGTCTATAGCATTTAATTATGATTGACTCTGTTGCGTCTATGCCGCTGGTGTTGTTATAAAAATCTAAATATACATTTTTTTATTGTAATTCTTTTCAGATGAATTGTTTATTTTAAAATATAAAAGTGTAGTATTAATTAACGTTGATTTCGTTTCTTTTAGACGCTAGACGAGTGGTCTTTCGATGTGTTTGCGTTGCACGAAGCGGCGGCCGGTATGCCTGTTAAATACTTGGGCTACGAGTTACTCAACAGATATGGAATGATACACAAGTTTAAGGTTAGTTACTACAAAATATTATTAATCATTATTACTGTTATACAAATATTATTTTTCTGTAATCCATTCAACAACAATATATGAAACATTTATAAAATATTCATTTTCATAGAGTAACAAAAACTAAATGCTTCTCTGTTAAAAACGTGTTTGATAAATTAAAATTCTTTAAACTTAACATCAGTTTTCTATTCATGAAGTGAAGAGAAAATGCACGAGATTTTTTCTCACTAAAACAGCTCCAGTAACACGAATGTTAAATCTCATTTGATTATAATTAGTTCCAAGAACTTTAAAACTAGGAAAGGCATAACTTTTCTCAACATTTTGAGAAATTAAATTACATGAAAGTTGTGGAAACTGTAAACACTCTGTGAAAACTTTCAACTTTACAGACTTTGGACCTTTAAAAGAAATTTAAACTTCAAAATACTGATCAGTCTCTTTTATATGTTAAATATAAAATATACTTAAGATTAACTATGAATAATACATTATTCTGAGATATTTTTCATATTATACATAATTATCCCGTACTGTATATTGTTTTGATTTGTTCTAAAACATTTTGATCACGTAAACCCATACATATTAACAAGATTTTTTTATTGAGGGTAGAAAAAGAAAATTGTTAGAAGTTTAATTATTCAATCAGGTTGATTCATCGAAACGAATCTTATTAACTGTCGTAAATATAGGCGATTGAGATATTTATAGAATATAGAAGACATAGTTTTTAAGAAAAATGTTTACTTGTGATCTTAGAAAACGATTTCCAATTAATGTAAAGTCATTTATCTTCAACGAACTTCAGAAACGAAAATCTTATTATAAACTAATTTATCACAGGTGCCCCCGACTATACTCGAAAACTTCCTCAGTCGGATAGAGGAGGGGTACTGCAGGTTTCACAACCCCTACCACAATAACTTGCACGCTGCTGACGTCGCTCAAACGGTTCATTACATGCTCTGCCAGACAGGACTCATGGTAGGGGAACAGAAATATAACTGGCTTTAAGAATTAAATTCATATTTTTGATATACAACACGTATTTCGCTTTACTCCCGACGTTTCGGCTACTTTGCAATAGCCATGATCACGGGCAGACGAGATGGGAATGAATGTAGTTTTTAAAAATAATAAACTACGCATAGTAATTCAAAAATTATTACTTTTATTAAATGAATACTCGCGAAAGAAGTTTCGCAATAACTATAATAAGACTAAGTATTATAACTAAAATATGTCCGTATCTTACAATGTTTATGCGAATATTTTATTATAATATATCTGATTAAAGTGCATGGTATTTTCTAGAACTGGTTGTCAGATCTGGAGATATTCGCGACTCTGGTTGCAGCGATAGTCCACGATTATGAGCACACGGGCACAACAAACAATTTTCACGTTATGTCGGGCTCTGAGACTGCTCTACTCTACAATGACAGGGCTGTGCTCGAGAACCATCACATAAGCGCTGCTTTCAGGTATTGCATCGTAAATACAGGTTTTTACATCATTTCAGACCAATAACATAAAATTTTAAAGACCTCAAAAGTAAATAATAAGTTAGTATTGAATATAAAGAACATGAAATGGTTGAAATCTTAAATCATACAATACAATCGAATCATAATTCGTAACTTCAAAACTTTAAAAAAATCGAGAAATATTTCTAAGCTTTCACCAAAATCCTACATGGTATATGTACGTAATAATAAAAATAATTTCCCGAGAGACACTCCTCTTTTCGCACTCAGCTTGGATCATTCGAATAAAATCCGTTTGTTACGGCGTTCCTTAAATTTTTCTACATGTTTTATTGACATCGATATTTTGTTACTTAGATATCTGCGTACAATTGTATGCTATCCTTCAATTTGGAAACGTGTTAAGAACATTTCTTTGTTTGTACATGATTTTAAACAAGTATTTTAAGGAGTCCCTTAACAATTCTGTGAGTTAACATGTAATCATAATAACGAACTTAATAAAGAAATAAACTACTTACTTGATTGAATAAGAAATAGCAGAATATAATTTGCTTTTATCTTGTTTTGATTGATGATGACAGATATTAAAAGGCAAAAAGCATAAGCAAATTTTTCCAACTGCCAAGACAAATGGGAGATATTACTGACGATCCGTTCTCTTTTCTCCTAGATTTTTTAATGGAAAATATTACAGATTCTTTTATACAATTCTAACATTTTTGGATCCAAACCATTACACAATGTTTTCTGAATTAATCATTGTAAAAGATAGCATGTTCAATTAAAAATATCATCCCATTAAATTTTAAGTTATGGTAATGTTTGAAACGCGTTTTTATTTTAAGCATCAATGAAATTAAGGGTCCTATCTCAGAAATTGCAAAAGCCAGGTGCCCTTATTACGTTTTATAGACATGTATAAAATTCTTCGCCGGGGAACGAATTGGCTACAATATTGAATTTCCTAAATTTCGATTTAAATTAATAACACCAAGGTTCTTACTTGTAACTTCTTTGTTTAACGGTTGTGTATAAAAAATTCTTTTGAAATAACGATAACAACATGTGCATACTAAAAAAATAATGTTTTTGATCTTTATTTTCACGTTATAAAAGGTTATTTTCTTCGACTCGGTATGTTGCCGTTTTCAAAGACGTCAAGTCTTTTTGTTAATTATTCCATATACATATCACATAAAATGCAAGTCCCCAATGATTTGATTTTATCTCGAAACTTATATTTTAAATTTTTGGTTATTAACTCTGCATTATGTCCTTTAATTCAATTTAAGTTTAAAAATAAGAATGTATCAAAAAGACTGTTCTTAAATAGATAAAAGGATACTCATTAATTAGTATAATACAGGGTGACTGGTGAATTACTATCAATATTTAAGGAGAATACTCGGTACATGATTCTCATTCGAATTACACACGCATGCGGCGGCGTGCTGATACAACACCACGCCGCCGCACGCGTGTGTGTGTGTGTGTATACCTAATCTGTAGGGTGTTCACACGATGCGTAATTAATAACATAACTTTTGGTTAACTTTACTTAGAAGTTTATTAATATTTATGTTATATTAATTTTTATTTTGTCATATATGATCGTCAAATATCACGTCCTCAAGTATCGATAGTAATTCACCAGTCACCCTGTATATGTTGGCTGTCTCAAAATATTTGGATGGTAATGATTAGAATTTTTTCTACTTAATTTTTTAGATTACTACGTGATGAAGAATGCAACATCCTACAGAACCTCTCCCGTGATGAGTTTCGGGAGTTCCGTACCCTCGTCATAGACATGGTGCTAGCCACTGACATGTCTTTCCACTTTCAACAGTTGAAGAATATGAGATCTCTCCTTTCACTTGCAGAGCCTACTGTTGATAAATCTAAAGCAGCGTCCCTTGTACTACACTGCTGTGATATTTCGCATCCCGCTAAGGTATTTTTTTAGTTTTAATTGTTTTCGTTATTATATTTGGACCACAATTATAACAATAGTCGCAAAGTACGCATTAAATCTAGGTATGAACATTATTACAGTGGGCTAACGTGGAATGTTTATCATATTTGATAAGGAGGACTAAGTATAAGTAATTGTATGTAAAATTATTATTAAAATGTTTTACAGAGATGGGATCTACATCACAGATGGACAATGAGCCTTTTAGATGAATTCTTCCTTCAAGGCGACAAAGAAAGGGAACTCGGTCTCCCGTTTAGTCCCCTCTGCGATAGAAACAACACTCTGGTTGCAGAATCTCAGATAGGTTTCATAGACTTCATAGTGGAACCTAGCATGGGAGTTTGTGCAGACATGCTAGAATGTATTCTGGGACCTTTACATTCTAGTACAAAGAATTCTACCAGTACAGCTGGACAGGAATCCATTAGCGAGGAAAGTTCAGGTACATATATTTTACAAACAAAATAGTAAGGTTAACTAAAATGTAATCAATTTAATTATGAAAAATATTTCAGGCACTGAACCTACCACGAAATTCAAAATCAAAAAACCATGGGTCGCTTGTCTCACGGACAACAAGAAAATATGGAAAGAACAAGCTGCAAAAGGTAATATAATCATTACTGCTACAAAATAAACTAGTAAGAAGATTATTAACATTTGAAATGCTGAGTTTCAATGTCTAAATAGTAATGTATTCTAAGTGGTTAAGTCTACCATTTAGTGACAAATACCTCATCAATTATATTATTATCAATAAATACCCTAATTCATGTAACAAAATTTCTTCCAAAGATATTTATCATAGTCATAAAACAATGTCTATTTTTTACTTACAGACGCAGAAGCCCGTGCGAAGTTGGAAGAAGAAACGAATGGTACTTCACCGCCTGCGGATGAATAATATTTAGCCTCCCTTGTAAATAGCGTCAAAACTAGCTGCTACAACATGTTCCAGTCGTTGTTGAATAAGAATTAAGCTAAAAGGCGCACATAGCTGCTTTATTCCGGGTCAAGAGCAGAAATAAATTCGTTAATGTAGTCTTAGCTTGATACGTTATTATAATAAATTTGGTTTTGATATTCTAAGTAGATGTAATATAGATTTAAGTAATTGAATGTGCGCCTAGTCTCATTGTTGCCATGTTCGCTTATTAGTAGAATAAAATTACTTATTGTTGTGTTGTCGCACAAAGTTATAAGGTTTTAACTGTTTCCTCTTTCGACGTCCCCATCTTCTATTCAATCAGAAAATAAATGAAACTAAGAACGGAATTACATGAAATATGCTTTCCACTTGGTGAATTAGAAAGAAGAAATAGTTAGGACTTATAAAAGTCACAATTTATGCCACTTATATAAATTGTTTATGGAAGACATCGTAGTGAGTATTTGAAAGACGTTTCCGTAGACCGGTTCGTCAGTAGTGTAAATATTAATGAATGAGTATATTTATTAAATAAATTATTATCATTTCATATTATTTCATAGAGCTGGTCTCAATTTAAGATTTCGTTAGCTACTACGTATATGTTATATTTTTTCTTCTTAAAGAAGTTTTGTATATACGTATAATTAATATTGTTGAATGTATCCTGTAATAGAATTAGATTTATAAGGATATCACAAAAGAAATTATTCTTTCATATTAATTGAATGTTGTAAGCAGTTATATGTATATGTAAGCTTTTAAATTTAAAGTTTTTGACAGATTATCTTACTTAAACTCTTAGACGAATTGTTATTTTTGAACAGACAACCTAAAAGACAACACTGTAAATGAATACATTTAAATAACAATTAATTATTTGCATTGCGAGAAGTTTTATAAAAAATTAAGCTCCGTAGTTTTGATATGAGTTTATAGTACTTAATAAAATAGACTGGCAGTAGTCAAAAAGGCCAGACATTTAAAATTGTTATAATTTATTCTTTAAGAATTAATTTTTACAATATGTATAAATCTCACACTCAAAATAAGCTTCTGTACAATTCTGTCAACATATTAAGAAGGCTTAGTTTTTAAGACGATATATAAAGAAAACTGCTGGTAAAGGAGCAAAAAAGTTTATCATAGACAACTTTGTATCTTTTTAAAAACAATTATTAATAATCTACTTACTCAAATGTATATTTAATTATATTATGTAGTATAACTTTAGTCTTAACCCATATAAAATACGCTTATTAATTTTAATACTTCCGATGTAATTGGAGTCCTGATATTCCCTGACCAAGTGTAATTATTGTGACATCATTTTGTATAATATATAAACTCATCTCATAGATATAGTTAGAGAATTATATTATCTATAACTCTAAATAAATTATGATATACATTGCTTTTTCTAGCCAATTAGTATATGTATAGCTATATAATATAATTAATGACTCAAACAGTCGCGCTATATTAGAAAAGTTTTGCGTACCTTTAACGACTTTTAGACTGAAAAGCAAAAATTTGTAAATCAGGCTGGTTTAGAAAAGATGTATTTTGGAGGACCCTAGTAACCGTCCTTTTGTATGTATCAACATCATATTCGTCCTTGAAATTAAAACAAAATGTAAAATTAAAATCGATTTTTATAGTCATGGTACCAGAGTATCTAAAGAATTTTGAAAAATCAATAAATGATAAATAAATACATAACTAACTATTCAAACATTTCTTAAAAAATTCTCATATTGAAATAGATTTTTCTTTAATTTTTTATTCTATCTGGGAAATATATGATCTATTGATGTGATTTCAAAATACTGGCAACCAACTAGCGAAAAGGGATAAAAAATAATACCTATCTTTTCAGAAATTTATACGGAACATCATTTTTAATCTTTTAAGCAAAAACTAGCTTTCAAATTAGGCATAAATAGAGCTGTATACATTGACAAGTTGAGAAAAATATGGGCTTTCTCAAAACAGACACGTGGGACCATTCTCTATGAATATCATGACAAAACCATAATCATTCTTTTAAGGTCAAAATGTATGAAATTATGAATTCAGGGATGGTAAGGCTAGGTTTAAACCAACTGGTTACGCTTATCATAGTATATACAATAGATCTTTTTATATATTTATCATCTATAAATATATAGATTTCTATATTATACTGTGCGAATATGTACTTTAATGTAATAATTATAAAATTTAATATTAGTATGTAGTTGTCGATGCCATCTAATTGGTTATAGCTTTATAATGGGTAGTTTTAGAAAATAACTAGATACACTTAGGTACCTAGCTCTCAACATGAGGTCTAGTTACTTCTGATTTGTAAAAATCTTGTTTAAATGTGTGAAATATATGTATTAATCTCTTCTTTCCCTTGTCACTTCCTCACTATTCTAAGAGCAAGTGATACAAAAATAAAACTTAAAAAACAGAATATTTGTAATATATTCATATGTATTAAACAATTGTCATTTTCTACCACTATTATTGTATGGAAGTATAACTTAACTTTCGTACCACCTAATGCTTCTCTAACTGTAGTAACACTATAAAAAAAAGTAAGAATTTCATGTACAAATTAAAGCTATTAGTTCTTAATCTATGTCTCTTCCTGGGAAAACTTATACACTCCTTTTATTGAATTAGCCTTCCGGTTAAACTTATTATTTATTAAGTAAAACTTTGTACCAACTCATATTTTTACTGAATTTGAAATTCATTAGTCATTGCAGGATATTAAATTGTTTTTCTGGGTATTTTATCTTTTAGCATGTGTAAAAAATAATTGACACTCTTAATCCTGAATCATATTTAATGGTAGACCATATACTACTCATATTTATAACAAATCTAGCTTTTGTAAAAATCTTTGTGTATTAAGATCTCACCATATTTGTCTATTTGGAATCTATGATACTATGTAGTTAAATTTACTAATAGAGATTCTATGATTTAACAAAAGGATAATATTTTAAATCAGTCCATAATCATTACATTAATCTCATAACCTCACTGCATAAACCTCCTTCCTTCTTGTAAATTACAAAACCACTTATGTATAATGTACTTGGAAATAAAATAATTTTTCTTAGCATATTTGTTTTATTTCAGACAGCAATACAAGGGTATCAAATACTTAAATGTACCTGTACCCATATACATATAATGATAACAAAATCACTTCTATTGTCATGTTCCTGGTAACAATATGTCTTTGTATATAATTCAAAAATAGATAGAATCTTTTTTAAATTCCATATGATACATCAATTGTATGTAGATAATTGTTATAATTTTATATAAAATCAAATTATATTTTGCCAAATAAATGCATTGCAATAGCTATTGCAAATAGCTATCCAAAAGACAAAAAAGATACTTGAAAGTCAAACTCTCTACATTTAGCATGGCAAAGCATATGATATTTAAAAGAATGCTTTCAGTTTGATTAAAATATTCATTAACTGATGATATATTTGTGATTTTTACCAAATATATTTATTTGTACTGCGAGTGCCCTAACATCTGTCTTTTGTCTGCTACAAGTTATGGTACCCTCAATAATATCACCTTTTTTAACTTCCTTACAATCTCTGAAGTAAAATACAGTTTGTTTCCAATGCGTCGGTGTTCCATGAGGTCCCGTTGTAAATGATACACGATTGGGCAAATCGAAGATTGTATCAAAATATCCAACTAAAGAAGTTATTGAACCATCATTTGTAACTGTTAATTTAAATGGTGATGTAAAATTAACAACATTTGTATTACAGGTATACAGATCAATGTCTTTCACAATGCATGGTTCCGAAATTATACACTTGGCTGGTACCACATCTACGCTAGCTTCTCTAACAACTTCTGATTTCATACAATTCATTTTGTATCCATAAACGTCAGACCAGAATTCAATTAATTTCTTATGTGTATCAACATCACCATTGGCGACCAGACTTATAGTACATCTGTTGGGTAGTAACAAACCACCAGGATTAAGACATGTATCTCTAGCATAAATTACACTATCTAACATGCCTTCAAATAATAAAAAGTACCCCATCCATTCAGATACAATTACATCTACTTTTTGATCTAATTCTGTGTCTTCAAGTCGACCTTTTATTGTTTTAATTTTGCTATCCAAATTGTTCTCTCTTATTATATCAATTGCATGGTAAATGACCTCTGATTGATCAACAGCAATAACTGCCTTAGCTCCAGCTGTAGCTGAAAACATTGATAATATTCCCGTTCCACATCCAAGATCAAGTACAACTTTATCTTCTATAGTTTCTTTATTGTTAAGGATAGCATCTCTATAGCTTTCTGTGCGAACCTTATCCGACAGCATGTCATAATGAATACCAAAATGAGCATAACTATTGAAGTAGCCTTCGTCACATTCCAGGGGCACTTTTGATACACAGTCAACAATGACACAGCTATCTGTTAATTTTTTGACATTATTTGTGTCACCATCTACCAGACATTTCATGGAATTTTGCATTTTACCCATATCTTCTTTAGCCATCTGAAGATGCGTTTGACTGTCTTTTAACTGTTCAGTTAGTTTTTGAATAGTTCTTTGAAGTTCCGAGAAATGTTCCTGCGACAGTGTAACCAAACCATTTTCGACGTTCGCGTGATAGGATTTTGGTGAATTTGACTTATCAGTAACAGAATCGAAGTCGTACATTAACCACTCGTCGTTATCCACGGGTTTTAAGTATAAATCATCATTCCACAGAGGTTTGTCGGCATTCATTATTGCCTCTGGACTCGGCTTAAGAGTTTTCACATAGTTAATCATTTTAATATACGAATAGCAGTCCATATTAAATCTTACTTTTAATATACTTAAATTGAATCCATGTACAAGTTCGCAATGAACAACAGTTTCATCTATAGTTGGGAAAACTTTAGGACAAAATAAACACGTTACAGACATATCACTAGTTTCCATTTCTTGCCATTCCTCCTCCTCGAAGTGTTCTTCGTCTGAACTAAGATCTGGTACATCAGACATTTTGAATAAAAGTTACACTTGAACTTTATTTAAAAAAACACAAATTTTATATATTATTTAAAACTTGTCAAGAACTACCATGTGTTCTATATTTTGACATGTGTCAGTATTCGCTACTGTGAACTGTCAGATAGCTTTCAAAAATCAATGTTATGCGCAAAGACAAAACAGAAAGATTGAATGAACGAATATTTATTGTTTTCAGAAGGTTTCCATAGCAACTGCCTGCAAACTATCCAAAGCTTAACACTAGAAATAAGTACACATTATATATATTCGCAATGAAATTTAAAATATCGTCTTTTAAGGAACCAAAACATGTCGGGGCTGTGTCATGTGTGGGCTGGAATAATACAGAAGATGTTTTCTCATGCGGGTAAATCAAGTTATGTACTATTTCCCTTAGTCATAGAAGTCATTTAAAGTTGTACTGTTTTTTCAGCGACGACCATAAACTATTAAAATGGAACCTTGTAAGTGGTGAATGCTTAGTAATAACTACATTTCCGGAAGACTTTTATCCAATATGCTTACATCTATTTCCAAAAATTAATCTTGGTGGAAACAAACATAATGATGTTATTCTTATCGCATGTGCAGATGGAAAGTAAATATTTCGTTTTGGTTCTTTTATGTACCTACAATTATTATTTTATTGTTAATATACGATTGATACAGATTTCATATAATGAATAATAATGGACGGATAGAAAAAAGTGTCAACGCTCATCAAGGTGCCTGCCTGGCTGCACAATGGAGTCCTGATGGAGCTGGCCTATTAACGGGTTTAAATTTATTACTTATTATTTTAAGACTGTAATGAGTGGATTGTATGAAATAGTTTTTTTATATGTATAGCTATTGCAATATTAAAAATTTAATAATAAAAATAATAAATAATTTTATAGCGGGTGAAGACGGTTTCGTAAAGATTTGGTCTCGAAATGGCCTGTTACGATCGACAGTTATTCAATCTGATGTTCCATGTTACTCTGCTATTTTTAACTCCGATAGTAGTGCTATTTTATATACCAAAGGGAATTCACTAGTGATCAAGCATCTGAATTCAAGCTCTAAAACCACGAAGGTAAAACAACGTACTGATTGTAGCGAAATATATTTTTATCTTATATATATACCTTAAAATACAAATTGCATAATATTTCAGTGGAAAGCTCACGAAGGTGTTATTTTATGTGTTGCATGGAACGCAAACAATAATTTAATTCTTTCCGGCTCGGAAGATGGGTACTCGAAGGTATTTAATTTGACCAGCGATAACTTGCAGTTTCAATTTAGAATTATAATTACTTTTATAATATATAAAATTTAGATCTGGGATCAATTTGGTCAGCAAATATCAGTTAGCGTAAAGCACGATCAGCCTATAACAAGCGTGAGTTGGTCTCCTGCTGGTGACATGTTTGTCATTGGTAGCTATAATTTAATACGTCTCTGCAATGCTAATGGTGTAAGTTCATCTATGTAGTTGTAATATTATGAAACTGCAGTTTTTGTAAGCTTTTTCCTTATACAGTGGTCTCATTGTCTTGAGCGACCTTCAACTGGAAGTATCTATAGCATCGTGTGGTCATCAGATGGCACTCAACTAGCTGCCGCATGTGCTAATGGAAATGTACTTTTTGCACATATTATTGAAAGGTTATTAATTTTGTAAAAAGAGTGTAATTTCAATAGGGAGTTACTAACAGAAAAGTACAGCTACAATTTTACGGAACAACATTTCGTTATTTTCAGAGAGTACGCTTGGAAGAATTACACATGCACACAAACTGGACGTAAAGTTATTTCGATCAAAGATATTATAACCGATCAAAATGACCAACTAGATTACCCTGACAGAGTTATACAGATAGCTTTGGGCTTTAATCATTTAGTTACAGCTACTGTAAAACAATGTTTCATACACAAACTAACATCTTGGAACACCCCAGTGACCTTTGACCTTAAAGAGGGCACAATAAGTATGATATTGCTGGCGGAAAGGTACAAGCACAGTTCCCCCTCCCTTAAATGGATTTGTTGTATTTAAATTAATCTTTACTTGTATTATTTATAGATGCATATGTGTCATAGAGAGGGCTGGTATATCAGTATATAGTTATATGGGTCGGCTGTTAGCAAGCCCTAGATGTTCAAGACCAGAAACTCTCGGTAGAGCAGCTGTATCTTTGGGGCCAGATGCTCTGGCTCTTATCGATCAAAGTGATAGGAAAAGTATGCCGTCTTGACAATTTTACTTAATGTTGTAAAAATCTCAAATAAAAGGAAATAATGTTTTCAGTTATACAAGTTTTTGATCTACCAACTGGACTGATTGTGCGAAGTTCAACGGACAATACTGTAACAAAACTAATACACAAAATGACAGTATCTAGCATCGCTCTAAGTCAAAGTGGGCCTATAAATGAAAGGCAAATTGCTTTGTTGGATTATAACAGAGACTTGTATGTGGTCACCGTTAAGGATTCCAAGCCAAAATTTGTCAAGCTAGGTGGTTATTTGTTTTAAACTTCGAAAAATCAATAAGCAATATAAATTTTTCGACTATTTTATTTAGAAATTGATATAAAATTGTTTTGTCTCATATAGGGTCCCAAATTCTTAGTATTTGCTGGAGTGCAGAAACAGAATTATTAGTCGGTTTACGTGCAAATTCAGCCGTGGCATGGTGTTGTCCACGCGCTGCCTATAAGAGTGATTGGCTTGCCCTTACTACGGTCACCAAAGACATCACGTCAGTATTAATGATTATATTTATTAAATGTAGTATATCAATTGATATTGACGTATCGAACACATTATAATATTTTACTAACAATTAAAAAGAAAACATCTTTATATTTTAGTGATCTTGGGCGTAATCCTAGTTTACTGAGCGTTGAAGATGGCGTGGCTTGTATTTGTCGCGGAAATGGTTCACGTACACATATATCACTAGCTTCCTTTCCTGAAAAGTTATTAAAACATGTTGATGCTAACATGTGGCAGGATGCACTTCAGGTAGGAATGGATGGGATAAAAAAGTGTCTCATTAGCAAAATGTTAAAAATTATTCATATCATTGGTAGCTTTGCCGGACCGTTGAAGATGAAACTCTCTGGGCTTGTCTCGCTGTTCTGGCTTGGCAACACAACCAGCTCGCGATTGCGGAGGAAGCATTTGCTCTAATTCATCACTACTATCAAGTCTGTTACATTCAACATTTGCGGGTAAATAAGATTTATATATTTGCTAACAAAAACTTTTTATGGTTGTCTCTAATCGTAAAAAACATCGTTTGTAACAAATTAAAAAAATTTATAATACATAGTAGTCACGAATTTTCATTTGTTTCAGAGTACAATTCCAGAAAAACTTACTACCTAATATAAGTTATTATAAGTACTTAATGTAAGTTATTTAATAAATCTGCACTACATGAATTTTTGTTATTATTAAAGTTTTTAAAAATATATAAAAATATATTTAGAATAAGTATTCAAAATAAGATAAATATCACTTGTAGTATCGGCATTTAATATCTAGTAGTTATTCACTTTAGTCTATGGATTACAAATAACATTCAAACCCAATTAATAAATAATGTCATAATAGGCTATAACAATTTGACACTCAATACTCTTTTACCACAGATTATATCAAATATTTTTTAATCTTTAGAGTTCTCATTCACTGCTGTCACTTCTTATCCAACCAATCAAACCGGTTTGTATTTATTCGGTCTTCGTTCATAAGTGAGACGAATGAACCTGTATTGTTATTACTTAGAAACTTAGTCGACTTTTAAAGTCGGTGAATGGCAATGGTGTCATGAATGTGATCTTAATAATTGAAATTAAAAATATTTTATATTGTTTTTATTAATTAAGTTATCATGAATAAGAAAGTGGTTCATTCGTCGAATTACTTAAGTGTCCAATAAATTAAAAGTGAATCGTTAAGTATTATACACGTGCCCTAATTGTAAAGTCAAAAGTAGTTTGTAATTCGCGAAAGTCTATATTTTACATTAATATTCTAATGGCAAGAGATGCGTGCTACAGGCAGATTATTTTTGGTTTTCGTGCTTGTATTGTTTTGCGTCATTTGCCATGGTAATGAGCTTATTAGCGAGCATTCGTTGGAGTTGACCCAGTCCTTGAACTTGGCCCGCCAAGAACTCATACAGGAGTCTTGCAACCGCTTAAACTTACGATGGACCTTGGATAAGTTGACGGAGACGCAGCTCCAACACATTTTAGTCGATGATGATCACAAACTTCTATACTGCTACGTGCCTAAGGTAAGTTACTGTAGGTTAATACTATTAAGAATGTTACGGGGCATGTAAAATCACATGAAAGTTTTTAACACCAATTCTGGTATTTAGAGAATTACACATTTTTTTATCGTTCCTAACTATCGCGCCCCAACAGTTATAATGTGACATCACAGTAACACATTCTACGTAGTTCCAAATAACTTTTGTTTTAAAAGTACGTACATTATACAAGTTCAATATTTTTTTCGATTAAAAAACATTTAAAACATGGATGAATGGATTTATGAAACAGACTTTTCAACAGTTTGCATGATGTCTCCGAATCAGTTTTGCTAAAATCAGAAGTAGAACGTGAGATAATGTGGGAAAAAATTTTTCTAGAATACATAATATGTCCAAATAATTTGAATAATTTTCTTTCAGGGCCAAAAGATTTATCTCTTATGTTCAGAAATGATATTGTTCTAGTGTTAGAATTATACATTTTTTAGGAAATAAAATTAAAATCATCCTTTTTGTTTATATATCAACGAATATAAAAATATACTTAATAAAAAATATTTTATGCATATTTTTATACAAAGCAACGATGCCGACTGGCATTCAGCCGGTTTTTTATAAATCATTGTTGTTATAATGAATATTGATTAATTACATTATCATCTCAGTTTTTACTGCGCATATTAAGAGCTATATTGTTTTTCTTTCTAACAATTGAGTGTCGAAAGATTAATTTTATAAAACGACTATTAAAATTAAATTTATACGTATATTAACAAGCGTTGAATAAATTTACTTTGAAGTCTTTGTTATCTATGAAAAATAATCTGTGGAACAAAAAACAAGTAATATTTTTTGTCTATGTGTTTATGAAAAGAAAAAGTTACAAAGTCGTCGTTGGCATTGCAGACGTCTTTAAAGGGATTTTTTCGGTTTTCGAAATACGTTATGGGGATTTTAGAACTATTTTATACGTATTTCGAAAAGAATTTAATTTAAAAGAAATACTACATTTCGAAAAGAATTGTTATGTTAATTTACTTACCGTTTCTTTTTTCGTAAATGTAAGAAAAAAGTCTAATATATCTATATCTCATCCCTTACCTAAGATCCAATCGATCACAGATCTCAAGGCCTTTTATCACACAGTACAGACTTACTAAAATTGAATCTAGCCTGAACATTGAGTTGCCTTCAAAGTTGAAATATTATTCAACAATTAGTCACTGTTAGAATAAGTATTATATGTACTATTAACCATTAATAGTCTTACTTTTGCGCGGCATAATCAAAAAAAGGTAAAGAAAATGGCCAGGGTGTCTGTTTAACCATCGCTGTAGGCTTGTAAGTTTTGAGCGTTGTATTCTGACGTCATAAATATTGAGTACAGTACTGTTTTGAACGATGTACACGATTATTGTTCGTGTAAATAAAAATTATTATTTTACGTTAGCGTAATTAAGAACCATCAATAAAGTGGCCAATTTTTATTTAATGCTTATTATTGAAAACAAAACTTAACTTGTATGGAATATCATTTAAAATAGTATTTTAATCGAATACCGTTTCTTGTATGACCTTATTCAGCATTCAAAAAATAATAATTTTGTAGGTGGCTTGTACGAATTGGAAGAGAATTTTGATGATATTGACTGGAAAATGGAATAATGTGGATCCTTTATCAATACCAGCCGACCTCTCACATTCACCAGGCATGTTCAAGACTTTAGGAATGGTGCCGAAGGAAGATAGGGACATGATGTTGGAGAATTATCACAAGATGATCATTGTGAGAAATCCATTCGAAAGATTGTTATCAGCGTATAGAAATAAATTGGAAGGGACCTATCAAAGTGCTAGGTATTTTCAGGTAAGTTTTAACATTGTCTTGTAAATTAAGATATATTTTCTATGAAGCCCCTGAACTACGTTTCGTTTCACAGATTTACTAGATTTTTCTTACACTGTCTTGTATGAGTATCTTTGAATATATGTAATTTAATATACTATTAAAATTATTAGTCATCATATTAGGTAATATAATATACTAAAATTTTAGACAGTCAAAATTGTAAATCAATTCATTGTGGTACTAAAAAAACGGTAAAATATTAACGATGTTAAAATATAAATAAAAATGTAACATAAGATAACTTAATGATAATATAAATTGCTTTTATTTTATAGTGCCGTCCCTCTAACGATTTTAAAAAAACATACTAATTACAGTTTATATAATATTTGAAATTTCACTATTCATATAATTGAAATATATAAAACAATAACAATTCTTTCACATCGCTAACTTTTATATCGAATCGTAAATTAATTATTTGTGCGACGAAAAATTTTAACGCATTGACAATACATCGCGGAAATATTATGTGACGTGTAACTGAAATGTGAAATTTATTTTTATTACAACACAGAGAACTACGATATTTATTAATATTATAACCTAACGTTTCTTAAAAACAGTTATAATGTGTAATGAATAAGATAAGAGTCTTTTTTAATAATATCCATACCATATAATTGTAAGCAATTTTTTTTATATCTTCCGAATAAAAACTCGTAGTACTAAATGTGGAAAGGGTAATCAATAAGGTAAATTATAAGTAAGTAAAAGGGTAATTGGTAACTTATCTAAAGCTTACAAAATCAGATTTATTTATATGTAAGCAGAGAAGTACTGTTTTAAAATTAATTTGATATAAGAGACTCGTGATCAAGTTAATTGTTAGTAAGATAATTAAGGCTCTTGGACTATGACGGCGTCATTCATTGTATACCTTTCTAGTTTTGATTAAAATACTGTTTAAATCTCTTACGACTAAATCCGATATAAAACAATTCAATGAAATTCTATCTTCTTAGTTTGTCTAAATAATTTATCAATATATGAAATTTAAACGTACATAAAATGTTTTGTTGGTTTAATATGTGTAGTATTTTAATTTATAGTCGTTGTAAATAATGACAACTAGTTCAGGTTACATCTCTATTAAAGCTAGGAAGTATTTGAAAACAAGTTATTAATTTGTATATATACATATATGTCGCAGAATGAGAGCGATGTAAAATATGTGTTCGTTCAGAGTACGACATGTTGAATTTCTTTTAAACAATCAGTGCGTACACCCGGCGCAGGCGCAGGTACTTCTGACAGTTATAGTGACGCCATGACTACGATAGCTAATAAAACAATTCGAAGTTAATGCTTCCAAGGAGGCTTTACAAGCTGAAAATTAATAAAACGAATGACTTTATATGTCGATATCAGTAAATATCTCTAACATGTATATATGTATGTGTATTGTATATCATGACTTATAAAATGATTCTTCTTATATGTATATAGAATTCTCGTTTCGCGGTGTTAGACAGAGAACTCCTCCAAAACGGCAGGACCGATTTTGATGAAATTTTGTGAGCATCTTGAGTAGGTCTGAGAATCGGCCAACATCTATTTTTCATACCCCTAAATCTTAAAGGTTAAAATCATTCACCCTTAATTTTTTTTTAATTTTCGGTCAATTTTTTTTTGTTAAACACATTATTTTAGCATTAAAATTAGCATTTAAAAATACATACAACCCAACATTTTCATTTTTTTAACATCAACATCTATTTTTTTATATGGCAAAACAACGTTTGCTAGGTCAGCTAGTTTCTCTATAATTTTTTGGGTATACTTTTTTTATCTATTTCTGTTTGCGTGTGTGCGTGTAGTTTTACATTTATTTTTTTGTCAGAGCGGCAATTATCAGAAACCTCTTTAGTTACCTATTAAGTATAATTTGTATGAAAAAAGCAAGATAAAGATTACAGAATTTAAGACTCGCGGTGATTTTTAAGTGAATATCTTATCTAATGCTAGAGTTAAGTGAACGTTTATAATAATATTATGTATATTTTTAACAATTTTAATTAATTCTATATGTAAAGTAATATGCAGTAAAAAAGCAGACGATATCTGATTCTTAATTAACTTTTTACGAGCAATTTTTATGAATATTATCGCGTTAGACCCGGCACCCGTACGGTGAATCCATGGAATGCTGAGAGGTTTCGTCTTTTCTACAGTTATAATTTTATTGTATATACTATTTTGCATTTTCTGCACGTTTTTAAGTCATACGTCATTTTTCTTGTTATTAGGACTTCCATAAAATGAAATATTAGTTAAAACAGTAGAGTATATTTATTGTTAATATCTCTTGCAATTTTTACGTTAAGGAAATCTCGTTTTGACTATATTGAAAAAATAATTTAAGTATATTGACTCTTATATATTGATAAATAATTGTGCTATATCAATCTATTAAGAGCCTTTTTTTACGTTGGAATAAATAAATGCACTTCCTTATACCCCATCGGCCAGGCCTAATGACTGGGTTGGTTATATGGGGCTCGAAGCAAGCATACTTACCTCTCCATACCTGGATTTAATCTATGGAAGAACTTAATATATGTAATATTAGTATATACATCGAACATAGTTGTTCCATTCATAGGTATTTTTTATTCTAGGATAGGATCGGTAAACGAATCATCAAAGCTTTCCGGGACAATCCATCAAACGAGTCTCTGGAGTATGGAAATGATGTCACGTTTAAGGAGTTCGTGTTGTTCCTCACGAGCAAATCCAAGGAACTGGAAGACATCGTGAACAACGAACACTGGCAGCCCATGACCAGCCTTTGTCATCCCTGCCTTATAAAATATACACTAGTTGGTGAGTTATACTAAAATAATTTCATATGTATTGTTTTATTAATATGGTGGAAGTAAGCGTTTAATGTGCGTTAGATAGCAACTTAAACCTACACCTGGGTCTCAAGTCCCAGGCACTGTTGAAGCTCCTCTCCTTGCAACGATGGACCCAGCACACACACGGTGAATCCATTGAATGCTGAAAATATTCGTCTTATAGAAAAAAATATGCTTAAAAACAGATTCGAACTTACAACCTTTGGCATAATGTTTCATACATTCTCCGACTAAGCTATCGTGTCTATATTTTTCTATTATAATCTTATTACATACGTTTATTAATAAAGATCACCAACTTAATTTTACTACATTATCTTAAAAGGATTGACATATAAGGAATGATTTTATTACCTAATGATCTTATGTATATAAATATTCAGAATTAATTATATATTCGAAATATATATGATATTGGCTATCGGCTACTGAAACATATTTTTTTTACTGCAAAACAATAAAAAAATATCGGTAGACTCTTCGAGTAGATTTCTCTTATAATATCATATTCTTCTTTTTAGTGAATATTAAATAAATATACAGACATTAATGATAAGTTTGGATATAAGAAATTGCTAAATTGTTTATTGACGTCATAGCGTTCGCGTCATTGAAGCAAACCAAATATTCTAGAGCCATCTTTAACATGTTTAATGAAATTACATTTAATATTTCATTTAAATACATTTATAATTTTCCTAACAGATCATTAATATTGTGACGTATTTTTACATACAATCCGAATTCCTTATAGGAGATCCGATTTTAATACGTTCTTTCATATTTTATAAGATCCGACGATGCGTTGTTAGTTAGCTTATTGTGGTAATATTTAGCCTTGACTATTAATAGCTGTAACTTTAAACTCGAAACTGTTTGTTAAATGATTTTATTATTGTGGAAATATTTATAAAATTTAGTTTATATATAATATAAATATTGTGGGTAAAATAATTGTGTTAGACTTTCAGACTTATATGGCTGAAACAGCAGGTACATTATTGAATAGGATTGTTTGAAAATTTCAAGTTTCTGTTTTATCAAATTCACAAAATTTTTTCTAATTATCTAAACTTAACCATAATATTTTATATTTTATCTTATTTTATGTACAAGAATATATTTCGGAAATTCGTTTTAGCATTTAAAGACGTATATTAAATCGTCTTTGGACACGTTATTTTTTTATCCACAAGGTCTTTTAATATATACATTAGCCGCTAACTACGAACCGCAAGGTTACTTTAATATTATAATTATATAGAATTTAATTTAAGTAATAAAATTTTTCTTCATTTAGTGTCTTATTTTAAATTGTTTAAAAATATTAATAAATGAAATGAGAGCTTTGAATTCTACATTGGAATTTTCTATACATATATACTTGTATAAGAAATTCGTATTTTTTTCTAGTTACATGTACTCTAGTGAATTATCAAAATTCTTCTAATAGGTGACATTAATGATACATAAGTACCTTTTATTTTAAGCTAAGGCTTCATTCGCACTGGAATTATGGAATATTTTACGAATGACATTTTTATTTCTATCCAACTCTGGATACACCCTTAATTAATCCTTCAATATATAATATATATTTTTCAACGTAATATATGCAAGCATACAATGCATGTTTATCATCAAATTCTAAGTATAAATGCCATCATACAAACTATTGACTCGCAATATCTAAGAAGGTGCGGTTATATTATTTACAAAGATAGAACTATTCTCACAATACATGACTATGACGTCTCCGTCGTTTACTTAATGATTATAAAAACCTCTGTTTTTTTTTTTTGTTTATAATAAGCTATCATTATATTACTATGTGTATACAAGTTTAGAACTTAAAGCTTGAGAAATAAGATTTATTTTGATTAAAATATTTATATATTTTTATGAATCCAAGTTATACAATAAAGCATTCTTTTAGGAACCCTGTAAAAATTAATTTGAGATAGTCAGTAAGCCAATAGGGCTATCAGCTACAGTCAAGTCGAAACTAAAACAAAATCGGCTCTTAAGTTTAGTTTATGATTCCACTAATAAAATGATTTGAATATATGTAGACTATTTATGCAAGGTCTAGGCAAAAGCAAGCCAAATTATAGTCATGCTCATAATATTTTCGGTTTCAAATAACGTCCACCCAGCACTATGTTATTAGCTGCGTTGTTTTTCGTATTTTTTTACTCCTCAGATTGCGTCATTATCAATAGTTCTAGCTAATTAATGGTTCTGTCGACAATTTAGTTTACACGTGTTAATACTTTTGGGATTTTTGTTTGTAACTGAATGAATGAATGATAATGATTGAGTGAATGGAATGATATTGAATGATATATTATAATGATTTTTTATGAATGACAGCCCAATATCATTTTAACTTTATATTTTTAAATTTAAATTAATATAGTAAAAGGCATTTTTTTTTTGTTTTTATTTATATAAAGGAAACGTTTGTGATAACATCAACATACGTAATTCTTATTAGGGTCAGGGTTTTCCGTAAATCGGAACAAGAATTATGTACATCCTCTTAAATTACTTCTGGTTGAATTGGACCTCGGTTTTAAATAAACAGACTTTATTTAAAGAAAGGAGGTTTTAAGAACGTGTATTTTTTATGTAATTGTATTCGTACCTCCTTTGTTTATGAATCTCTATTCTCAATAGTTTTGTATTTTATATAGTATCGTTGAATTAATACTTTTAAAATACGAAGTATGCCAATATCTACAATTATGTAATTATACATCATCCTATGTTATATTTGTAAAAATAATTTGATTTTTTTTTGTTAGTCAAGTGTTTTCTCCAATGGAATTGATAATATATTTTTACTTGTGAAAAAAATATCTCAATAATAATAATTATAAAAAAATATATTTGCGCCCTTATACTATATTAATTCAAGAATAACATAACTGTATTTTTTAAATAAAAACTCAGATTATCTAAATGTTACGTGCAAATATTTCACATAAAATTAATAAATTTTAATTCACTACATATATTCACGAATTTATACAATTCCAGGTAAATACGAGACGTTGGTAGATGATTCTCTGCTAGCTCTTCACACCATCAATGCCTCTCATATACAGTTCCCACACCTTACCCACACATCGGAGACAGCTAACAAGCTGCACAGCTACTTCTCACAGCTCGACCTGCCGCTCATAAGGAAGCTGTACAAGCTATACAAGTACGATTTCAGCATATTCAACTATAATCTAGATGAAGTAGTTGGCTTTGACCTCGGTTGATATATAGCTCCTTAAGATGTGAACGAAGTGCCTTCTTGTCAGTCTATGATATAAATTTACGTAAAATATATGATTTGATAAGATTTTTCTATTGATCGTATGTCTGTGTTCAGAATAAAGTACATATATTATAATTCTTAATCTTTATATATGTCAAAAATATTTTTGATATTTTTTTTATATATACTTTTGGTATTAATTCTTTTCGTGTAACTACGATAAACAAATTTGAGGCGTAATTCGTTTAAGCTGATCGTTTTACTGATATTTTTTAAAAGGATCTTCTTAAATATATAAAAATTGTTAGAATATCCACACCATTTAAAATCAAATATTGTTGTCCTACCCATTTTTCTACAATTCATTGTTTTATTCAGTTCGCCCAACTCCTTTGTATTATTTTACGCCTTGAAAGATGCAACAAGTATTTACATTTTTGAAACCGTCTGATAAATTTTTATAAATGAAAAAACTACGAAATATGCGTATGCTGTAACAATGCAAACATGTAATAAGGAATTCATACTCAAACTTATTATATTATACAAATAAAATATACTGAGAATATTATATTATGATATTGATAAATATAAATATAAACGGGCATTGAATTATACAAGCCAATCATACATAACTGTATATATTATACGTTTTCATACTATGTTCTCGTGTATACTCAGCTTAATGTTCCTTAAAATATTCTACTATGATCCTAACTCACCTTCTCCATGTGAGAAAGAGGCCTGCTCAGCAATGGGCTCTGATAGGCTAATGATGATCCTTAGTCATCAAAACGAATGTCAGTGACTTATTACGTAAATCATTTAATTCATGTTAATTATTACGTAAGTTATTTAATTCATATTACGTAACAAATGTATTGAAATACACCGATGACTTATCAATGACATGATTTTTTACGTAAATTATACATGCACATATTTATTTGATTAAATAAATTATTTTTGATACAGCTACATATCAATTTTGTTATATTTTTGTGATTGTTTTATTGATTTCTACCAATAATTTTTATATGATAAAAATTTACTCTCCACGAGACAAAGGTTATCATGCAAAAATAGCGATTAACCGCTGTGGCCTTATTTTGTGGTGATGCGTTTTGGGAAATATAATTGATGAAATGTTTGAATTATTTATTTATATATGTATATATATATATTTTTTTTTAAGCACGAACCGCGAAACCTTTACGTTTTCAGAATTGTTGCATTTAGTTTTCTTAAATAATTATATATATCATCACCTACATAGATAATTATATACAGATTTGATTTTTACTCGCAATTTAATTACATATGAATATAAAATTATTGTTACTTAACTTCAGGTAACAGATATTCCGTTTTTACCTATTTTTAGCGCCATATCTCTAGTATGGGTGTTAACGAAAACTATTACAGTTTACGAGTACGTTAACACCATTTTACAGACAACATTACGAAAATTTGTACTTATAACTATGATGATATCGAAAAACTGGAAGTCTTTTCGTTGATACAGTCACTCGTACTTAGGAAAATCGCAAGCTTTGAAAGTTATGTGTAATTATGTTATTAATATAACTACTACAAAAAATATTACATTCCACGACAGCGCTCTTAGTCCAAGTTGGCATCGTCACTACATACGCAGCGTCAACAGTAATTGATTTACATATCTTCTTACAGTATTAGCGTAGATTATTGGACACGAAAAACTGTTAGTTTGTAGTTTAGCTATGCCAACTTGGACTAAGAGTACAGTTATAAAGAAATATAATTACTTAATATATGCTTTGAAGTTTTTTCATCTAGACTAGCTTTTTTGTATGTTCAATAAATAGTACATATGAAGCACAAAATAAATTTATTTATTCATAGTTACTTTAATTTCCCGACTATAGTCCTTAAAATTACACTTAAGGTAGTCACGTATTTGTAGAATTTACGACCAATACCTCACTTATAAACTGTTATATAAATAATATTTTTTATACATAAGAGCTGAATATTAGTTTAAAATATATTCCAAAGCTCTCTGTGATATATAATACATATATGAATATATATTTATATATTTCAATACCACTTAAAACAAAAGACGGAAATGTATTGTATTTTGTATAAAATATTTTGTTAAAATCCCGTGAATTTCGTCAAAGATCTATTGAATAATAGCGCGCTGTAATTGTTTTTTGTATAACATAATGTAAGGAGTGCGAATAATGTCTGTTTTTTAGTAAGTACTAAATAAATATTATATTTGGAATAAAAATGGTATTTTTTTTTATTTACCCACGAATTTTTATAAGAATTTATTTATATAATAATCCCTACTATAATATTATAAATGCGAAAGTAACTCTATTTGTCCGTCTCTTTGTTACACTTTCACGCCTAAACCACTTAACTGATTTTAATGAAATTTGGTACAGAGATGGAGTTGACCTTGAGAAAGAAAGAAGGGTAGTTTTTATTCCAGACTTTTGAAAGGTTCTCTTGGAAACGCGATATAACCGAACAACACGCGGGCGAAGCTGCGGGCGGAAAGCTAGTTGTATAATATATTTACATATGATACGCTCGCCACAAATTTCTATATCGTAAGATATGACGTCAGGTCTAAAGATTCTTGCCGTGCGAGTTTTTGCTGCAAAAAAAAATTGCGGGCCAAAAATTTTAGCAAAAAATTCGCTGCTAGCCGATGCCGGCGTCCGATTATGTTTCATAGATGATTAATATGCTCATATTTCATTCCTATCAGAATTTAAATAAAATTATTATTAAAGTATAACAAGGACAATAAGGTATTTGAGAATCGATTGCAATTTACAGATTTAATAGACATTTATTTTGGCTAATTTTATGTGGTTTTAAATTTAAAATTAAAATATACATAGTTGTAATCTTACAATTAAATTCTTTATTAGCACTGCCTTTTATAAAGATTAACAGGATCCATTGAAAAGATCAAGGTTGTCTTAGACGAGACTTGTGAGAATTTATAATTCTTTTAAATATTTGTTTAGAATCTTTTACGTATTGACATAAACATATATAGTTTTATTTCCAACACATAAATTAAAACCAAAGTGAACATTCAAACGAATTTGCCTATATTTGAGTTTAATTATACATATAAAATTATATTAAAAAATACATATAAATATTAATTTAATGTTAATAATATTATAGTCCTATCGGCCTCAAATAGTTCTGACCGATGATGTCCACAGGTAACTTGCAATCCTTCCAAGAAACGGTGCGAATAGTAAATGGTCCCTCGCCCTTTAGAGTCACTGAAAAAAAAACTTCATAATAATACCTTTTTGGAAAGAGCCAAAATTTCTTGAATTATTTGTCTAAAATGACCTTGTAATTTTATAACCCGTTGCGCGTATATTGCGGGTCGCCTTGATCTTTGTTTACATTACAAAATTTACCATAAACCATACATCATAACGTCAAAATTTTATTATAAAGTATAGATAAATATTATCTACACAAGACAGTCCTTATCGCATCCATCATAAATTATGAGCGACCTAATTGTAAAGTAAAAAATATCAATGGATATCTTCCTTGTAATAAATATACAGGGTTTTGGTATTAATTTTTATTGCAGGAACATCGTACGATGTTTTAGATAAAAGCTTTTTATCTGCAGAATATTATTGAGACTCACCCGTCATCCCCGGTACTAAGGTAATGTTATATTTTCCATTATTCATAATAAGAGGCCAGTTATCATCCATCGAGGATACAGTAAGGGTTGTGGTCTTCACCCCGACGTCCAACGTGAGGTTTGATCCGAGATATTTTATTCCTAAACATAGAAAATACTAAAATATATTTAGCTGTATAATATTTCCAAATAGGATAGAGTTATTAATCGGCAAAGACGCAACATAGTAGTGGGATCTATCTTTGTGTCATGGTGTACCTTTTATCTTGAATCTGGTTGCCTCGGGCGGTAGTTGAGGCTGTGTTATAACCAGTCTATCAAGATGGACTCTGATACCGCCGTATCCGAACATTAATGCCTGCAGGAAACCGCCCATACCAGTGTGGAAGTTAACAGCACCCAACCTTGGACGACGGAGTTCAGACCAAATCTAATACAGTGGAATGTGTTTGTAATAAAAATATTTCAAATATTTATTATGTATACCAATGCTATGACAGGAAATTACACAGTTTGATCTTGTTAAAATGTTTCCAACTATTTAGTACAGCATATTTCAGATATTTTTTGGCTTTCCTGATGTCTTTTACTACAGTGGTGTTAGAGCAATCACTGCATAAGAGTCGTAATGATTAGTAAACTTCAACCAGAATTAACTTGGATACCTTGAATGGTTCTCTAACATATCCCTCATAGCTTTTATTGAACAAAATAGCCGCTCGTAAATTGTCCTTCAGGTCGAGCTGACCGATGGCGTGCATGCTCCACGTCATCGCTGGACCACTTCCACGTGTTACAGACTCGTAGTACGAAAGATCGTTCGCTCTGGTTGAACTGGAACAATAAGGCCTCTTTAAATATCTCTTCAGAAGCTGTTACTTTTATTAATACATGCAAAGGCAAATGTATCTATTCAAAATTTGAAAATTTTATGAGGGTACTATAATTCGAGTAGAAACTCTTTAGATGATACAAAGTAAAAGATTACAATACAATAATATATGTAAGAAGCAAGCTACTTTAAATACGATGAATTAAGACTTTGCAGCAACGTAATAAGAACAGACGAAATAACCTTATAAATTTACATTTCTATTTCATTATAATTTTGATATGTCCATTGTCTTCATAGTAGTGTATCGTAATGGCCTTAGTTGTAATGAATGTGACCCAATACTAAATTGTTCACACTCGTACTATTAACCCTTATAATGATTTAATAGTTGAGGCACCAGTACTAATAATTCTTACTTTATTGACGCTCAACTCTTTGATTGTTAATGATTAAGAGATAAATTAGAGGCATGACTGTATTCTATTCATCGTGGTCTTTTTATAGTTGCGCAATATTATTATGAATTTTTGTCAGTAATTGAGCATTTATATCCGTGTATTATAGGCAGCCTTTCTTTTTGTTTTACTGGAATATATATTTATAAGCAATACAGAGTTTTCAAATTATTTTGGCGATCACACTGGCATCTAAAGTGACACTCAAGGTTTGATTAGATAATTCTAAAGACAAATATATTTACATATTCATAGGATACATAAGCGGGAATCCAAGTAGAACAGCATCAGCCTGCTTGATGCTATCTCCTCGTTGATAACCCTGGAACTGAGGATGATAATCTCTTTTCGAGTCGTAGGGAAGCGAAAGACTCCACGCAATATCCGCCCAATGGCCTGGGTCTCTTGTCATGTAGTAGGATTTGCAAAGACAGGCCACATATCTGTTAAATAAAAGTTATCATAATATGGTGTCATTCATTTGAACCCATTTAGATAGTTAAGGTCAAGGAAGAATACTTGGATTTCCCTAAAAACATGTCATATTTTTTTATCCTAAAAACAGTTTCGAAAATTATTATTAATCGGACTGTATATTATCAAGGTCTAGTTAAGGAAGTAATTAGAACTAAATGAAGACATCAAAGCTATAAATTAAGAAGAAAAAATAATACATAACAATTTTACTTACTCCGCTAAATAAAGTGAATAACCAGCGACAACATTGGTGAAAACTGAGTTGGTTACATTACTATGGTCTTCATCTGGTCCCATGACGTCTGAAACACAAAGAGCAACTTGTTATAGCACATTTTCAAGAAGAATTTTATTTTAACAACAAATTAAAACCCCATACAAGTTTATTACTTGTGTGAATGGTTTTCTGCAAGTGTGTGTATTTATAACAAGTCAGTAGGAATATTCGAATAATAAATATACTTACTTTCAATGTCATATAATCCCGTAGTGTAGTTGATAACGGCTCGGGAAGCCCAGAATTCAGCGATGTTGGTGACAATCGAACAACCGCCATGCTGTTAATTTAATTAGTTACAATTAGTACCCATCTATTCCAATATATAAATTATTATAACTAAAATATTCTGAGGGTTCAGTTTTTGAACATTCTTTATCAGCCAGTTAATTCTCATGACGTTAAGGGTAGGTAAACATTTTCTTCGGCATAAAAAAGTGGTGGGTACATGCAAACAAATCACATTAAATCTGTCAATTGTCAAGACAGGGATAATTATATCTACAAAGACACATAATATGACACCCTTATTTTAAGGAAATACATTTTCAAGTCAAATTAAACTCGCACACGAGCCGCAAAATCCTGGACCTATTCAAAAAGAAGAGTAATAGAATTCAGTGTATTATTTTAAAGGTGGCCATTTCACGGGGATATCAAGGATAATTACTCTAAAATAAATAAAACGAATATTTTCTGATTACTACGGGATAGTGGTCACCGTTGTTGCTGCATAATAAGCGAAACGTGGGGAGTATGTAGTTTTAACATAATAAAAAACGGGTTGTAGTCCGAAAATATATTTTTTTTGTAAATTAATACTTGAGAAAGTCTTAGATCTCATCTATACTCTAAAATAGTCAAAAACCTTGGCCTAGAGGTTAAAGGCCCGCCTCTCGAGGGTTCGGGTTCGAAACCTTGCAACTATCAATGTTATTTTTCAGAGTCACATGTACCTACTTTCTAAAAGTATTTGAACACCACTGACGGACGGTGTATGAAAAACATCGTGAGGAAACCTGGACTAATAATTTCAAATTATCAGTTTTAAATCGCAAATCCACCTTGAGCAACCGTGGTGATTAATGCTCCATTTGAGAAGAAGCCTTTGTTCAGCAGTGGACACCGACAGGCTGATGATAATGAGTCAAAAACCTTATAGAGTATATCAAAATACCTTCAGCCAATCCTCGTCTCTGGTGACAGCTAGGTACTGCCGCGCTGCAAAAGATATGCAGCCAGTAACATGCTGCTCAAACTCTGCCACCTCCGGGCAGCATGGCTGAGTCACTTCAATACCGGTATAGGCACTTTCCCAAGGATATCTGGAAGCAAAGATTATATCTGCTTTAGAATAGCACAGGACATTCAATAAACATTTGGTTTAATACTAAATTATCTTATAAATGTAAATTTCAAGCATTATCAGATAATTAATATGTTAATGTAGTTGTATTAAATGCAAAAATAAATATATCACCACAAAAATGTATTACTTTAAAAGTGCCTACTTTAATTTTATAGCAAAGATTTCTTGGTACGAGTTCCTGTAATAGTAGAGTAATAATCTAAAAATAGAACCACTTCTTGGCAATTAAATTATGGATAAAATAAAAAAAGTTGTGTAAAAATAAAATAAAATAAATGGGTTTAAATTATAAAAGATCAGGTATGTATTTAATTTTTTAAATATAGTACTCGAAATTTTAATAAATTTGCAGTTAAGTTATTACAAAGTCTTTGGAAAATGTTTTTGCTTTCCATAATACTAAAGGCGTATGTAAGTGATTATTATCTAATTATTTGACAAAACTCATGTGGCTTTCGTTATTATATATTATTTTAAACTTTTTAATAACACTTATAGTTTAACACTGAACATAAAATTATTGCTACAGTATTAAATGTCTCGTGGGTGTTGCTATACCTCAATAGTTTTTTTTAACAAGGGGTTTTTTTAACCTCTTAAATTAATGAAGCAAATAATATCTGACCTATATCCTTTATTGCCGGTAAGTTTTGCTAGTTCAGCAGCGATGTGGGCCCTGTCAAGGCGATACTGTAACAGTTGACGTGCGTAGCGAGGGTACATGAGCAGAATCGGCGGAAACATCCACATCTCAGTATCCCAGAAATTGTGACCTTTAACCAAATTTGTCAGATTAGAGCGTTTGAAATAGCTGTAAATTGTTTTGAAGCGTAAGACGTTAAAACATTAAAAATTATATAACGAGAAAATTGTTGGTTTTTAAATTTATATAGTATTAGTTGTAATAATATGTCTCTCATAATTAAGATACTAAAGCAGTTTCCGTTTTTCATTACCCTCATAATCATCAAACGTTCCGCCTCTGGCTAATCCCGTTGGACTCAGTCCGTAGAAATTGTCAAGAGGCAGGTGCGACTCCTCGGATGGTAATGAACTCAACATGTAATACCAGATGCCGTTAACTATTTTAGCCTGGAATTAATGAAATATTATAATTAGACTTTTTTGTGTAAAGTAACGTGTGCTGACCAAATAACCGAATAAGAGAAAACTCACTAATTGTAGATTTCCTTCTATTTCCATTGTTGCTTGAGTGTAAAGCTTGAGCCACTTCTCAACATGCTTCTCGAACAGTTCCTCACCGTCTTCCTGTAATACTATCGTACTTATCAGTTTACTTTACTTGCTTATTAACAATCAGTCAATGTCTTTGAGCTGATTCAATATACATGAAATAAAAGCAAAATGTTGGTACTTTTGTCATCTTATTTTGGTGATAATTAAAAATTTAACAGAAACATATGTTCGTAATTTTAAATTCTATTGTACTATATAATATACATCTATGAGAAACCTATTTAATCACCTTTGACAAATTCCTCTCTAGCAACAGATTCATTTTTGTCTGCAGTCATCAAAAACGTGAAGATCCTTCCCTTGACGTGAGGTACCACTAAGTGATCTGGCACTGATGTCCAGTAAGCACATACGTCCACTGGAAGCGGCTGGTGTTCGATATCTTCAGACTCCCTCGTCTTCCCACATGTCTTCCAAACGACAGCGTCACCAATAATTTCAGGAGTTGGAGACTCAAAAGCTATGTCCTTGCTATCAGGTCCCGCCATTTGCTTTATTGCTATCCAAATTTCGTGGTGAATAAAATTTGGATCTTGAAAACAAAAAATGAGTTTATGTCTATAAATTGAGAATATTTATATTCTATTTTACAAGCAACGTTTCTTAATTGATGTTTGGACAGATAGTAATAACAAAATCTATTGAGGAGCCTTAAGAAATATTTTAGCAAATTATTCTAAAGAACAGAATGCCTCACTACCTAAGCATATTGTTTAATGTTATTTTATTCTTTAGAAAGCATAGTCACAAATTTAAAATCTAAAAATGCTCACTTCAGGAAAACCCTGAAATTAACTTACCAGCATGAGTTTTAGGCATAACTTCGATTTGATTTACAATGGTCCTTGTATAATATCTATGAGCATAAATCCTTTGAGTTACCACTGACCTATCCCGGTCTACTCTGACTTCAAACACTCCATGTTTTGTGTCCAGGCTGTAAACAGGACTGAAGGGATAGTGAGTAAGGGTTGAATTGAGACGTATATTGGCCCAAGCTGGTATTCTTGCTCTGCGACTTTCACCTCTGTGACCGTTGTACAAACCGTTCATGTATACAGTGTCGCTGAAGACATTGGTAGCCAGATGACCATTGCCGATAGATGGCATAAAGTGGTCATCATTCGGCAAACTAGAAATCATAAATATAAAACTGCAGTCTTGCAATTGGTGAAGTCAGTCATATTATTTTATACGTCTCAACGATCACCTACTTATTTTATAACATGCACCTACGTGTTAATAAAACAAAAAGCGAATCGTTGGGAAACATCCATAAATGTCGAGTAACATAGATTATATTATTTATGTTACTAATATAACCAATAATGAATTCAAAGCCTTAAATTTATACATATCTGCATATGAACACATTTCTGATTAATAACAGTTTATTTACCGAAATGAAAAAATAATAAAGTCTTGTATTTTTAAGTTATAACTTGTAATTGAAATGAAAAAGAACATATTCTTTGATCAAATGTTGCCTATTACGTAAAAGTATTATTAATTAGGCAAAAAAACAAGCAGTTTAATAACGGAACGATAAACCAACTAACAAGTGTAATCTAACTAACAGCTCGAGTTGAAATTATTCACTTTTAAATAAGTTCCTAGAACGGACTATTATTTTTATGATCCAGAGAAATTTTCTTAATAACTGCATAAACCTTATTCTTAATAGTTATAAAGCTAATCTTTAAACATTAATGACTTATCTACATTAAGACGTCAATTTTATAATAAGCCACATAAGAAAACCAATAAAAAAAATAACGCTTTAATTGTTGCAATATAAATTGACATCTTAGAGAAATGTTTGATATTAAATTGTAAATAATATAATGAAGTTGTGTATACAAAAAAAAATAATATTACAAATGCAAAATTTTGCTGAATAATTTATAGAGTCCAAACTAAATAGAATCTGAATACGGAGTATTTTATGTTTTTTGGGGTGGATATTATTTTAAAAGTTCTAGTATCGCATTAATTTGATGTTTGTTTTTTTATTTTATAGAATTCCAGATTTTCAAATACTCCTATGTAATTAAAAAAAAACACTCTATAAAGTCCCTCGAATTAAGAATAAAAGTTTTTTTTAAAGAAAAGCAAAACAAAAAAGAGGAATACATACCTGTGCGTTGAAAATATATAGGCTTTGTCGCTCACATCCTCAGTTTCAACAGGGAACTGTTCCACAACGGTGTGAGTTCTACCTCTCGTGGTTAGAACTATCACAACCAACGAAGCTGCTGCCAACAAGCCCAGCATGGCTGCAACTTGTTTATTCTTCGCCAAGAAGGACCACATTCAAGCAAATATTTGATAGCAGTTTCTTTCTGTTCAGAATTATTCGCTATAACAGCTGTGTTACTGTGTACTGTCGTGTAGTTGAACTCTTTTAGCAATATCTTCTTTGATATGAAGTAATAATCAGGTCTCGCCCGTGCACAGCCGCGTCACCCTTTAGATTACGCGACCTATCTGACACGACATACTTAGCTAATGTCATTGTTCTATTAACTATAATAAAACCTAGGGTCATCACATTGTCTATCCATCCTGTGATCCTATCAGATTTTAAATAGCCAGTGTATATTATAATAGTGAATTACGACCAATTATACTTTTGTTTCGGTAACAATAATAACATTTTTGGATTTTATTACATGTATAACGTTACTAAATAGACAACCCTGTCTAGGAGTACTAATACAATTGTCACTTCCTAATTAATACAATCCAAAAGACCTACTGAGTTAATTATTTAAGACAAGACAATACAAGAGAAAACTGGTGAGTTTGGTTATCAGATTGTCTGGCTTAGATCATTGAACCATTTAAATAATAGTACAACTTAATGCTTCAACTATATTTATAAAGCATGTTAAGCTCTTTGTATTGGATCTTTTGTTTTTAGATTTAACATTCACCAAAATATTAACTTGTCAATTATTTTTATAAGTACAGGTACAAGAAGAACATGTACTTGAAAGATATTTTAAAACTACCTCCAAAATGCGTCATACGAATCTTTAATATGGCTCGATGCGAATTGACCATTGATACATTTTCTCAATGCTACCAGCACCAGAATTATACAGGGTGACTGGTGAATTACCTTCAATATTTAAGGAGAATACTCGGTACATGATTCTCATTCGAATTATGTAATAAAAATAGGCACTTAATTTTTGACAAAATTTCCGTATAAATAAATAAAGTGTTGACACGTTCCAAGTGTGGACGTGGTGTTGTATCAGCACGCCGCCGCACGCGTATGTGTGAGTGTGTGTGTATACCTAATCTGTAGGGTGTTCACACGATGCATAATTACTTACATAACTTTTGGTTAACTTTACTTAGAAGTTTATTAATATTTATGTTATATTAATTTTTATTTTGTCATATATGATCGTCAAATATCACGTCCTCAAGTATCGATAGTAATTCACCAGTCACCCTGTATAATTTAATGTCCACATTAATATTTAAAAAATCTACATTGAATTTGAGATTTTTAGCATACCAATAAGATATATCAAAAATTCTTTTAAATGGCAATCTAACTGTTTCTTATTCCTTATTGGATTAAGTGCTTATATTCCTATAAAGAGAAGAGGAAAACAAAATTTAGTATATACAACCGGATAATTTATACTTGTATGTTAACATAAACAACGAAAATTTTTGATCGTAATAATTGAACAAATTATTGCCCGACTTAATGGCATCCTTTCCAAATACATAAGGATGTAACATTAATTATATACCTAACATTATATACCTGGAATCAATCTTTATAGAGCTCAGGACTATGATGCTAACAGTCAATGAATCCCAACCACAAGTCGTACCTAAATTTCAATTCAGTAGTGGAGGCAGCAGAGCGTGCTTCGACCGCGACACGGTCCGCCGCGCAGCAAACCTGGTGCCGAGGTGTCGCTCCCTACAAAACATTTATAAAACACCTATACTTATAATACAAATATATATAATATACAATATCATTGATCATACTTGTTTATTAAAAAACTATGAATACTGACATTAATTACGGATACTCAAAATCTTTTTGGATTAAGTGTTGATTAAATAATATGTCAAAATTCAATATGCTCAGCTCATAAAGGATTTAGTTCTATATAGAATGAATTTGTAGATTCACTCACAATTTGGATACTATTCATTCATTCCATTTTCGCTCATTATATTTATATAAGGTGTAAAAATCTATTGTTTATTTTATTTCAAGGTTCCAAAGTTATTAACCTAAAAATGTAATCATTGAAAAAAATACATCTTGAGAACAGACCAGATCTCATATTACATTGTTCTATGATACGAGATACTTCCTAATATAAAACAATATAAAATTAGATTTAAATCGTTTAACATGACAGGTGATTCAGGCTTGCATCACCTTTTAAAAATACGAATATGTATATTGCAAACACTTGCGTTCAAACACATAATATTAATTCAGAACGAAAATAATGTTTCCGTAGCATTAACGATAATTAAGATAAGTGATTGAAGATGCGAGTGGGGTTGGTCTTAGAAATAATAAATAATTAACTAGTGAGATATGGTAGGCAATGTGATTATCCAGTGATCGTCAGAGCGTGGCGCCCTCCGTTACGGCAGTGCCTCGGTCAGCAACCTTGTTCGTGATGTAGCTGAGACTTGTGTTTAAGATTTATAGATCAGCTCCTGAGGTATACCTCGACTTGCATTGAAACAATATCATCTTCTGTAACTGTTATGTTCTATTGCAGTTTCAGCTAGACTTAATTTGTTAGTCACATATCAAATTCTGTTTAATTTTGAACAATCTTTTTGCCGCGAAAATTTAGTATAGAGAGACTTTTTGACATAACTTATTCTTGTCTTCTGTCGTTACAATCTTATGGTGATTACATATATTATAATAATGTATTTTAATGCAAATATAGCATTTATTATTATAAATTTTATAAATTGTATTTTAAATTTTTCGCTTTAAAACTATATGTTTCTTAAATTTAAATTAATTGATCTCAAAAGGCTTTCACAGTTCCAATGTTCAGGAGTAGAGCGAAACAGACGCCAACAACAATATTTTCTATTTAAATCGTTTTGGTAAGTTGCTACAAGAACTTATAGTATTTTTATAAATTTCATATAAGATATAAAATCCTAATTCTCTATCTCGTTTTATTATTTAATACAAAAATGTATTGATTTCCCCACGTACTAAATTAATGATAAAAATATAATAATGTCTTTATTTTATCATTTCAGTGGATTCTAACTGACAACAAACAAGAAGAATGTTTTATTGAAAAAAGTTAGAAAACGAAAAGATTTTCAAGCTATAATTAAATACTTTAAAGAGACTTATCGTAGCCTGATACAACGAGAGTAAAAAAGAAATTAAATAAATGAATACTTCTAATGAATTATAAGAGCGATATTATTAATATTGGAAAGGCAATCAAAGGTACATAAAGTGCTTTTCTGGTTTGCATAATTCACATAAGACTCAGTGGAAAGTTATTATAGCCAAATATATTACCTATTCATCGTCGGCCAGCTCCCGAGACCCGGCCGAGGAAGCACAATATTCGTGATGAGGATTTAAAAGGTACCAGTCTCGTTAGTTTAGCGAAATGATCTGTACCATGATGAATCACACATTGTTGCTTCCTGGCATCTAAAACTGGGAAAATCTTTATAGCGCTATTTCTCACTTATTGCATTTTCAATTTAATATTGAATGTCTTTAAATTTATTTAAATATATAATTGGAAGTTGTAAATATATGGTTCATTATGTATATGCTTATTTATGAAGCGTTGCTATATAAACTTAATTCTTGGTATAGTAATGTTGAAACCTCTTGCCCGACGAAGCATAAACACGGGCAGGTGCAATATCTTGTTAATTGCTCCAAAAAATTAACGAACTAACAAAATTACTCGTGACTCAGACAAGGATTTCTTTATTTTATTGGGTTAACTGAGTCTAGCAGGTGACTGCACGAACCTTAGTATGGGTTTTCAGAGTTTACTGTAACACGAATAGTTTGAACGTTTTCGTATCAAATTTATGATTGTTATTCCTATCGATGAAATGATATTAAAATATTCGATACTAAGTTAAAGTTGCAAACGCTTCCTAAGGATGCTTGGGTCGTAATTTTACAAAGTTGAGGTATTACTTTGTTGGTATGCACAGCTTTACAAGCCTATATTTCTCTTCTGTTTCGTTTATGAATTGGAGAATTTTAGCTACAAGAGTGAACGCTACGAGCAAACTAATTTAAAATAATTTAATTAAATGTGTGATTTTTAACTGTTTATTCTATGTGGACATTTATTAGAAGTCGTTACATGGCTTTATCATTTCGAACAAGTAATTAAATGAGAATAATCTAGGGTGGCCTATTTGGCTTTAAACTAAACCTGAAATGGAGCATGGTTTAATATTAAGTAAAGTCGGGACAGCGATTATAGACCTTATGTCGTTAGTGTTAAGGACATGTATATACTTAACGGATAGGATACATGGTGGGCGTTGTATGGTGTAATAGAAAGTTATTGTTTGAGAAATAGCAGCGAAGATAGGAGAAAAGGAAGTAATAGTCTTTGAGATACAAGCAACACTTGTAATTGGAGTAGATGTTGTTTACTGGGAATACTCGTGGAATGAAATTTATACAGTAATTGTACAGTTTTGTTCTTCGTTTTTAATACCTCCTTTTTATGTTTTTGTTTTATTTGTAGGCACATAACGGTTGCAAGGCATGTAATATCAGTTAACAAAGGAACTATTTATAATTGAAAATAAATCTGTGGTATAAAATTTAAGTAATTTTATAAAGACTTTTATAACCTTTTTTTCATCTCACTGATTTAATGTAACGTATAAAATGTTTTAGCTTGACCTTAAATGTGAACTGAGATATACATTATAAATGTAAGGATGTTATATTAGCTTTATAAATTTACCGACATAGTTGACTTCGGGAAGAAGCTGCAGATTACGATATGAAGAAGCAATAAAATACTTCGATCCAACATGTTACTTCCCCTTAATTGAACAAAATTTCGATACGGTGTCACTCACAGATTTTAATTACACGAGAATCTGTGTAATGCTACCGAACTAATTGTGAGGAACGTGAGCGTTAAATTATTCATTAATTGGCTCCAGTTCTTACAATGAAAATGTAGTTATATTGAATCGGATACGACTAAATCGTGCAACATCTTTGTAACAGCATTCCAAAGCTACTTTGTAAATCGGAACGATATCAGAAACGATAT